GATTTGCTGGTACTGTATACGCGAGATTACAACGATAGTAATTTATGTAGTGTAACGTCGTGCGAATGCCACAATTAGGTTTGCACTTGTTACAAGTATGTGTTGGTCGTGTGGTCGGTAATTGCGCGAATCGTATTCATCCCGAATCACGCAGTCATCGTATAATTATAGCTATACATATTTCCTCATCTCATAACGTATACATACCGCGAATGTAATGAATGTATTAATTTCCGACTGAGATTCTTGTGTTAATATGATTCACAACAAAGCGCTTCTCTTTCGACTTGGAAACGTTTTGACATTTAAGAACAACTATCATTGTTGCAATATCTTTAAAATAGAACTCGCTTTTAACATTTCGCTATCACAGTTGGCGTCTTATAGAAGCGACGAATTTTAACATTTCTTAGTTGTTTAATTAAAATTAATTGCGAGATATAAATACATTCTGTGTGATATGTAACATCTTCTTATTATTTACATTACTGATATTTATAAATTTTATTGAATCACTTATAACGAGATTTATAACACAGATCCATTAAATGTTATAAAAAAAGTAATTAAAGTTATTAATTGTTGAAATGTAATTTTAATTATAAATTAGCTTTAAGTTCTATAAATATATAAATAGAAAGAAGTGTATCGTTGAAAGATTTATTATTAGAAAAAAATTTGGTAATTTTAAAATAAGTATAATCAAATTTGTTTAAACAAGTGATTATTTAATGTCCGAGTATGGCTTTGAATAGTGTATGTATCATTAAACCAAGTGCAGGCTGTAATTAATTATAATTTAGCAAACAATACAAATCGATCAGTATTTATCTGAATTCAAAGCTATTTTGTGAAATATACAACACTCCACGAACACATAACTGAAGCATTGAAATAACACATCATGAGAAGGCTTGACTACGGCGTAGTTTGAATTATAATAGCAGCGACTAGATTGTTGTTTACCGAAATGATGCAAATGCACAATGGTGTCGCGTATAATACCTACTAGAATATTTCAATCATTCACATTTACAATAACATGATTATAGCATTCTTAGATTGTAATTGATTAATTCCAAGAGTTAAATTCGAATAATTTTAAGCAATCAGATTTATCTTATTTTATTGTGGGATTATTTTAATAATTAACTAACTTTTTCAAATACCTTTTTTAATATGATGTTTTTAAATATCTTTTTTCAACATAACGCACAATACAAATTATGAATTGAACTAGAATGTACTGAAATCCTTTTCTCATTATATGAAAATAAGGATACCTACGGTATCCTAATAACTTTGACATACGCTAATGCAAACATTGGCGTATGTCGAAGTTATTACGCACATGCGAATTACGTAGAATATGTTTACAGTTGGCGTGACTAACGTCAGCGGCACCATTAGCGAATTCAATGTGAAAGAACAAACGTGCTTGACCTTTTAATGTATGAACGAGGTCGCGTGGGTGTCCACACCGCTATATACCGTCTATACTCATCTCATTTATGGTAAGAGCATTATATTAGTTTGTCCTATTCTCGTGTACGAGACAACGGCAAATGGAAAAAATTTAATTAACAAATGCGCAATCAGAGCGCAATATCATTTTTAACGGGTCGTACTGTGTTGTACATTTACATCACGTGTATAAGTTGTCAGACGTTCTAGTGAATGTATTATAGGTACAATAATTTACTGCCTGAAAATTAATAAATGCAAACTTTTGAACATTGTAGAAATTATTACATTATTATTATTGCCTTATTATAAAATGCAAATAAGAACATGAGAATACAATATGTATTTCAGGAAGATATAACGCTAGTAAATATAAAATAAATAGAATCTACGTGCCCAAATTGCAAGTGTTATGAATGGTTATTAGATTTTTCGTGGTAAGAGAGAGAGAGAGAGAGAGAGAGCGTGTGCGCGAGCGCTAATCTAATTATTATTGACTATATTGATCAAACGTGATATCGATAAACAGCAAAATACTGTCATGATATCTTGCTATTGGTTTCATATGCTCTCTTTAATATATTTCGATAAAAGAAACTTACGCTGTTTATGAAAAAAAAATAAAATTAACATAATCGGGTAATTAAAAGATTGTTTGCGAGAAGACTTGGGCATAGGTATGTTATTTATTTGTTTATATGTTCGAACTCTTTATCAATCTTTTGATTACCTGTGACTTTTTTTAGTTTTATTTACTTTTTGTAATATACACTTCTGTTCATAAATTCGGAACAGTTTGCAGTTTTTTCGCATTTCACAACGTAAGTATCTCGGTGAAATTGTAGACAAGTTTTTAAAAATGTATTTTAAAGAAGAAGAATATACAGTTTCAAAATCGGGCATTTGAATTTTGTCTCTATGATACATATAATATATTTTTCTCCTAAATTATATAAGATTGGAAACTGACATTTTTTCTAGTATTTTTATCATTTTTTTAAGTGCTCTATCTGGATGGAACATCGAACAAAATTTAACCGATCAGCATTTTAAAATTGACTTTTTAAGCTTTTTAAAAAAATTGTTACGATGCTTTCTCGCAAAGATATATTTAAAGAAGTATTTTTTTATACACAGATTGGTTAACCAAAAAGGCATGTTGTATAAGTTACAGCTGCTACGATCTGATAATTGCGCCGTAAAGCTCAATGCGTTTTCTTAAGCGGTGTGTACTCTTGGGCGGTCTTACCCGAGCTCGTTCAGATTCCCACTCGGGTGTTGTCCGGGTGTCATGTCATCCTTATTTAACGTTCGATAAATAACATGGATAGAGTGATACCTAGGTGGCACTCGGGTGGGAATCTGAACATAGCCCTACTTGTTTAAAAGTCATTCATATAAAAATGTAGAAAATTATGATTACATTGCGCTTTATAAGTCGTTACAAAGCAAATTATTTGTTATTTTGTTTTTTGTAATTGGTTTCAGAATATATTTATGACTAAAATTTTTTGGCTGATATAAGGCTGATATTGGCTTTTTTAGTTCATTTTTTTCAATAAGCTTTATAATATATATTTGTTCGTCATCAAGGAAGGGGTATTTCAATTTTTACACAATGACACTTTGATGTAAAGATTATGCTGTCCTTTTGTTAGGCTTGCTAATTGGCTAATGCTTTTGCAGGAAAGAGCTAGAAAGTATTTGTTTGCCTCCCTCTTCTCTGTTGAGCCGTTGTTTTTTATAATTTAATGTAGGGAAAACGCGTTCCAGTATATTATAGAATATAGAGCTTACTGATTTTTTGGCTGATACTTTTAGCTGATAATGTACGGCCAAAACATTTTTAAAAGAGATGAAAATTTCTTAGCTCTATACCGTGAAATTTTTGCGTGCTTTTAGTTACGGGGAATCAAATGTTGTCACAGCAGTGGCGATTCGCATTAATATCCTTTCTGCTTGAAAACGTGCGGCGAGCCTTTCAAAGTGCATTAAGCGACTTTTAAATGTACCACTAGATATGCCATCAAATAATTATTGAGGTTGTCGCTTCCATGAGCGTTCACGCCAGTCTAACCACTGGAAAATTATCTCCAAAAACACCTTCGTGAGATAAAACGCAATATCGAAATATTTTTTAAATATTTCAAAGCATAAACAATTTATCTCAAAAAGTCAAAATAAAAAATAATTTTAAACTTATCAGTATGATGTGTACACACTGAAAGAATGTTTCGTATTTGTGACTATAATTATATGGTAAAATAATTATGGTTAAGAGCTTCATTTATAGTTACTACTATTATAATATAAATAGTAATAATTATATTTTTATAGTTTTATATCGGAATCGTTTTCAACGATCAAAAATCAATAAGTATTACTTGGTCGCATTTGTGATCTAGAAAGAAAGTTTTTTGTTGGACAGTATTATTTGTAAATTGCTCGTATCGCAGTTAATAATTTATAATTTATATCCTTTATTGTATACTCAGACTTTTTAAATTGTCACGCTTGTTTAAAATATGATACTTGTATATGAATAATTAACTATTGGTTCCATATATTATTCAAGTCGTTAATATTCATTAATGCAAAACGATCGCCGTTGACATTTTTCGTTATTTGTCGCGAGCGCGTTTTGAGGAATAATGCGATTCATGTGCCACTGCCTGCCCGACTCAATCGCATCTCGTTTTACGCCAATAGCAAGTAAGGTCAGCATGTGTATACAATACAGTGATGTTGTATACGTTGCAAAAGACAAACATTGAACACCGGTGCCACTGTGCCAGTCGATTCCTTATTGCCATGAAACTCGCACGTAAAGAGAAAACTAAGAAACATTCAAAACGTTACAATTGATCATTTTATAAACGTTTTATTTATTATTGTTTATAAATTTAATCGTTAGTGGAATATCCTAGTTTATATTTTTCTGTTAAAAATTGAAATAAAGAATAAGTTAATTGATTCGTTTGAAAATAATTGTAATTTTTAGTAACAATTGTAACTGTTCTTCTGCTAGAACTGTTTTTTAACAGTGTTTCTTCGATTTGACATTGATTCTGACGTTTGTAAAAATATATTTAAAAGCACGTTCACAATTACCTAATGTAGAAAATGATATTGTTTTACATTTCTTTAATTTCTAACGTATATATCTCAAAAAATAAAAAAATATAATTCTTAAAAAAATACTTTGCTTCTTAACCTTTGTTAGTAAGTGTATATGTATTATTATTTATTATTTTAGTTCACTTTTTATATTTTTTTTATTTTTATGTATGTAGAATGATTGTACATTAATTTATCATTCTAATTCGTCTATAATTTCCAATTTAAATAGCATTGAATAAAATTGACGTACTAAATTATACATTCTAGAATTACTTGATATAGGTCATGCTATTTTATTGATTGTTAGCTTGTTTCGATAAAATTGCAAATGAATTTGTATTTGTTTTTACCGTGTTTTCCGCAAGAGAAAAAAATAAAATTTTTATATTCAATTTTTCCTATTTATATTATTACAGCTGGTACTGCCGCGGAGAAGGGTTACTTCGGACCATGGAGACAATGTAAACTCCTTCTTTATGGACGTGAGTGGTGCGGCCAAAGCGTCTCCAGGTTCCAACCAGTGTGTAAGTTTCGTTTTGTGTGACTATAAAAAGTGCTGATATTTTTATAATGCCACTCTTCGCCAGAACGATATTATTTTTCTATTTTTGTAGCCTAATTCTGGTTTTGATGTAGTAAATCAATAATTACCGTAAAGTGTTCTCTCTACCGTTTAAAGCATTCTCTCTATACATATCAGTTATTGCGAGGAATATTTCCGAAGCCTCAATGGTTGAGATGGCTAAGACACCCGCCCCGGAAAGTCTCAGGTTCGACTCCTGGCTGAGGTAATATTTTTCGCAATAAGTTCCTTACATTTTCTAATTTAATTTAAGGGGGGATTATTAATATTTCAGATATTGATTGTGTTGAAAGTCCGAAAGTTATCGACGCGCAGTTATGTCTGAAATAAATTTATTTAATAAATACATAATAATGTAATATTTGAAACATCCAACTTTGACTGTAATTGGCTGTTTTATATTATAGTTTGATGACAATAGTTCCATATTATGAGATCTTGAATAATTCTTTTAAATATTCTGCGTAGAAAATTAACAAGAAAGATAAATTGCGATTAACGCTCAGCATGGTCAAATTAGACGAGTATTTTTTTTGTATATTTTTCAATTTTTCCTAAATTTGAATTATTTAAATAAAGCCATGAAATATTATGGTTTTTAATTAACAGTTAAATGTATGTTGAATCAATTACAATTTTAATATTAAACGATTTAAAATATTGCATAACTATATTAAATATATTGTTTTTTCATTTTTTCATTTATTTGTTAAAATATTGCATAACGACTATTTACGTTATATATTTCTGATTAATACAACAGCTTTATTTAGTTTTTTAATAATATTCACGAAAAATTTATATATTGTGTGAGTTGTTAACATTAATGAAAATCCTATGATAAATTATTCTCTCTATTCTATTCTTTTATTATTTTTTCGTTGCATTATTACAAAAAATGTTGTATATGAAAAAGGGCGAATTGTGTAATTACGCAGCGCCAAAAATTCCTACAGCTATAGAAAGCTCAATGCAAGTGCAGAATTGCATTACAATGCAATAGAATCACGACAAGATTTTTCCTTTATTTCCAGTGGCTGTGTGGGTGGCGGGATTAGCTGCCGCTGCCGCTTCTGCCCTTTTGGGGATTCTGGTCGCTTTGGCTGTGCTTCAATTAGCGATGGCCTCTTCTGCGAAGCGAGTTGTAATTTCGTACAGTACTGCTTTAATAGGCAAAGTCGCCCTTGCTACATTGGCAAGTGAGTATAAATTATGTTTGTAAATGAAGAGAAAGAGAGAGAGAGAGAGAGAGAGAGAGAGAGAAGGGAAAAGAAAAATTTCAAAACAATTTGAATATTTTGCTTAGCTAATTTACTAATGTAAAACCATACTTAATGTTACATAATTAATCAAAATTATATTTACTTTATGAAAAAATAAAATAAAGCGATGAATTTGAAGTAAAATTTTGAGTTTTGTTTTCGGCTGAAGATAATAAATTAACTGAAACGTATTTTTTTGTTATGATGACTAATTGTTAAATATTTTTATATAAATACCTTAAATGGTTTAATGTTAAATATTGTTTACTAAAATATTTGCGCACCGTTTACAGCGCCGATTTTGATTAGCCAAATCTTTTCTTGTTTTTGAATGAGGGAAAAAATATATATTTAAAAAAAAAATTATTTTATAGTGCAATTTTAATGTATAGTGTATATTCACATCTGATATTGAGATTACGTACTTATACTTGATGCGTTATTTAGTACTCTGCGTAATAGTCGTTATGGACCAAAACTTTGAAACTTTGAAAGTACATAAAATATCCGAATTATATTAAAGTATTTAAAAGTTCTTTCTATTGGTGCGTCGCATGTTTTTGTAATATATTACGAGCGTATAATATATTAGAATTATCGCTTACTTTTACTCGTCTATTTACTGACCTATGTGTAAGCCCTTATACGAGGTATTGAATGTGTGTGTTTGTCTACAAGAGATTATCTTATATTAAAGCAATATTATAATGCGCTGTGACAGTACCGCGTAATCTCTTTTATTCTTGTGTTGACTATATAATGACTTTTCATAAGTTAAGATAATATTGAATATTACAAAAATATACACTAAATTTTATAATAAATAATTATTTGAACGGTACTAAGTAAATATTTAATACATATAAACGTATATTAATGTTTGTTATAGAAATCGTTAATTTACTTATAATTTTTTATTGAGTAAATATTTATTTATTATAAGTAAATATTTAATTTGTTCTGTTTAAAAAATATATATATAATAAGATTTAGTAAATTTCTTTCAGTATATTTCGCCAATGCGCAGCCGGTGTGAAAGTTGGCACTCCATTTTGAAAAAATCGATATTTTATACACAGTTTGGTTTGCACCCACAATAGTTCTACAGTTCCTGATAAGTTTTAACAATAGTTCCGCTGATTTAACTAAAAAAAAAAAATTTTATAAATGGGGTGCCAACTTCGCGTGGCACCCCAGGTATCGCAAAAATTAATTTTTATCACGAAATTCTAAAGTTCTCGAAGAGTTCTACAGTTCCTGATAAGTTTCAGCGACAGTTCCGGCTTTTAAGTATTTTTAAACAATTTTTTAAAGTGAGAGCCAGTACCCCACCGCAAGAGTAAAGTACCGCGTAACGGTCAGTTTTCGCCGACTTTTTTGCTATTTTCCTACAATTTTACAATAGTTCTAACGCTTTCTGTAGGTTTTGCACAGAGTTTTGGCCTCTACGTATTTTTAAACAATTTTTTAATGTCAACAACAGAGCCAGCATCCCACTACAAGAGTAAAGTACCACGTAACAGCCAGTTCCCGCGGACTTTTTGCTATTTTCCTACAGTTTTACAATAGTTCTACAATAGAACTATTGTAGAACTATTGTGGGTGCAAATGGAACTGCGTATAAAATATCGATTTTTTCAAAATGGGGTGCCAACTTCACACCGGCCAACGGCACGCATATTTGAGTATTTCTTACTCATGTAGTTTTTGTATACACGTTTTTTAATATCTGACAATAATATAATGAAAATAAATAACAATAATAAAGGGCAAAACAGTTATTTATTTTCATAAGAAAAGTCCTTTTATCTATCAAATAATATAATGAATTGCGTTATAATATTGAATTGAAATATGAAATTGTATAAAATTCAATATTGTGTACAATTTTAGTCGTTTGAATAAGATTGAAAACTGAAAATTTTATAAATCGATTTGTTTAATTTCTCTTTTCAGCGGCATTATCGATTGTAGCAGCGAGCCTCTTCGCTCTGCAAACAGATGATCGAGCCAATAGTTTTGCCATCACAAGAGGAGAAGCTTTTTATATGCAGGTAAAGTATAATAGTGCGATAAAATGTGTTATTCTTTTTTCTTTAATTTCTTGCATTTTTAGCTGAAAATAATTTTTTCTTTTAAGTCTTTTTTTTAAATAAAAGAATCAACAAATAGATTTATTTATTATGTCGAATATTGAAGTATTGTAGTACATACATTATGCTATTATTATATAGGAAATAATAGGTATATAATAGGATATATTAAACAAGAGATAATATTAGTGATAAGTTAAAATAGATAAATTTTATATTTAAACATTGTAAGTTTTAACGAAAATAACTTCAACTATACAACGAAAAACAATTTTTTGTTTTTGAATTTCGTATTTTGAATTTTTGTTTTTTTTTTGTAATGAGAAAAGTTATAGAAAAGTTATAGAAAAGTTATAGAATAGATTGAAATAATAATATTTCTGTGGCATATGTTTTTATGTATTCGTGTTAGTACCACGGATCTCATTAGTATAACTAGATAATTTTGTTGTTAATTTATTAAATCTGCATTTTACACTTTAAATATGTGACAATTTTTCTCCTCTAATTTTTTCAACATTTTCTTGCTAATGTTTTCAATATGTGTGCGTGTATTTCCTTAACTGACTTCTTGGGTGACCTTCGAGTTAACATGATGCCGTTAACAAACGAGATAATTTTCAATAGAACGCGTTATGTATCCATTTTCAAGTTTCTAATTTCTTACACTTGATGTACCGTTAAAACATGTTGTTCGCTGACGTCAACACTAGTTCCCGAACCTGTTGCACGCAGAAGCAGTGTATATATTCTGAACTTGGTCTGTTTGATTTACATCCGTATTTCATGCACGTTTGATACGCTAATATTAATTAAGATATTCAAACTATCCGTGTCTGTGAAGTTAGCATGGAATTTTATTAATTTTCAAAAAGTAATAATTATTTCGGTAGTACTTTCTATTGTCCTACTATTCTTCTAAAAATAACAAAATGTTCTGCATTAATATTAAAAAAATCAAAAATAAAGAAATGCTAACTTCACGTTTCAGCACGGTATAACTTCCTCTAAAGTACCATCTAATATTGACATCTGTCAAGTATTCCCGTTTCTTTTAAGCTAGATTGATTATTATATGACGTTTCAGGACAAAATTCACACAATTAATAATTTTTACACAGGTTTACGCAATATCGTAAAAACAGGATTTCGATATCTTGCATAATTGAGAAATTCAAGTGCGTTGATTAAAATGGGACATCCTGTATATACATACACGCACACACACACACACACACACACACAGAAGATGTCCCATTTTAATCAACGCACTTAAATTTTTCGATTATACACAGGATGTTCCATTTTAATCAACGTATTTGAATTTCTCAATTAAGCAAGATATCGAAATCCTGTTTTTACGATGTTGCGTGGTGACGAGGGGGACATATTTTGATTAACGAGATCTGACCTTGGGTAAAAGTATTAAGGTTAACTTCATTTTTGTAATAGGTAATCTAATTTATATATAAAAATTTCTCTCTTAATATTCACGGTCTTTGCAATTCACTCACTTCAGCACTTGCAGTATATATAGTAAAGTTCCGATTTTGTTAAGAAAATACCAAACTCTTTATTACAATTGTTCGCGGAATGATTATCCTATATATGTATTAAAGAGGATATGTATATATTTAAGAACCTTAAATGTTTATAGATTAATAAAAAGAAATAAAGAACAATCTTTTCGATCAAGTAATATTATTAAATGTTGTTATTAAATTATTTTAAAATTATTATTAAAATTATTATTAAAATTATTATTAAAAACATTATTAAAATTACGGAGACTGTTAATTAAATAAAAATATCTCTCTTTTATACGCGAATACATTTTTATTCCGATATAATATGTGGCTCTATTAAACCTACTTTAATATGGATATATAAACTAATCAAAAAATAAATTACATTCGTATTGGCAATGAATAGTAATTTGAATTGGATATTGATCGCACTGTACGATGCAGCAGCGACAATGATGGCATATGGAAGAATGTCACGTTTTATAAAACTGAACGATAACGTCGCCAACGCACCTCGAAAGTTTGTTCTTATCGCAAGACGGCAGCTCGGGTTTCTCCCAATGCAGATGAAACATTCGCGGTCTTTGTAATTTAGTACTTGCAGTATAGTAAAGTTTTAAGTTAAGAAGTACGTAATTCTAAAGAAAATAGATTTGTACGTAAAAATATATCTTGCAAAAAGCCATGAACATAGGTATACAATATAACATATATAAAAATGTTTTCAAATATCATCATATTATGTGATGGAATATATTTCAGAAATATTATGATCTCGTAGCAAAATTATGCCAAGATCTCATAAATTTCATTTTTCTGCGTGGAAATTTAGCCTGACTATAATATACTATGAATATGCTAAGATAGATTATTTTAAACTTACTATCGTCTACTATGCTTGAAGTTGCAGAACTTATATAAAAAAAAAAAAAGGATGAGCATATTGAGATAACTTTATCAAGTAATACCATGCACTTCCGTTGGCGTGCGAGTAAATTGTCAATTGACGTAGAAACGTATATCTAACGAAGAATTAAACTTAAGCTTAGAAGTCACCTGATCGTGAACTGGACTCAGGTGTTTCTTTAAGCCCCTGTCTCCCCACCGATCGTAACTTAGTATGTGTCGGAGCAGCCACGACTCGTAGATACTTTTAAAACAATGAGCCGACATTGGCGGACCTGCAGTGAGTGTTTCGGTGTGGCTCGTTAATGAACTCGCCGCGTGTTGTCCTCGTTCTCAGTTTTGCGATAAGTGAATTTTTTCGTTTCTCAGCTGGTATGAGTTCAGCCTTTTGTCGTGGCACGCAAGCTCGAACGTGAGCAATACTTTTTACCATTCAAAGCTATTAGTTATATTTTTTTGAATAAGTATATATTAAAAAATTAAATATATAATATATTTAAAAACGACGAAATTTTCGATTGATTGGTCACTGCATTGTATATTTCGCTCGCGATAAATTCCCTTTCAACATCGATATTGTTTTATCATTATGTTAGATACGATGGTATTTTGATATCTTATCTTCGAAAATATACGATGATGGACAAGAGAAAACGGAGTCTCTTAAAAGGGGCCAAGGACGAAATTGAATTGGACAGAATGAATAAGCACAAACAAGGCAAGGTAATATCATTACTCAAGGAAATTCAATTGAGTTAATGTATTTGCTCTTACTTTCCTATGCTCTTACTTTCCTATGATACTAGCAATATTGTAATACTAAATGTACAAATGAAAATAACAGAAAAACTTTTGTTATATATCTTTTATTATATTTAAATTTATAACTTGGTGATTCCATCGAGGGACAATCAGTTCTACATTAAGGAATTTTTATGATCGAGAAGGAAGAATAATAATCATAAGTTATCTCCTTTAAAATAAATCAAGTTGCAGCTAATTGATAATGCAAATAATTTTCGTTGTAAATGTTACGCAAACAAAAGTCACTGAAGCGAGCAATTTAATGTTGCACACAACAGCTGCTAGCAGAGTTTTATTACGACACCAAGTCATCCCGTTCATACAATTAATGTATGCTATTACATACGTGTGAAAATATCGTTTGTCGTGAAATCATATGATACATACGCGTACTCGTTTGCATGAAATAAAAGGTCTATCTTTTATTGCTCAAAGGTCTGTTTCTTATCACTCTCTGGACTGGTGCACACGATGCAATAAGTTGAAGTGAACTGGTGCACATGATGCAATAAGTTAAAGTGAAATATACGTTTGTATATTTGTTTCATTTTAACTTATTGCATCGTGTGCACCAATTTAGAGAGTGCAGCAATAAAAAACAAACCAGTTTTTGTTGTCCAAATGAAGTTCCTCTTATTTTTTGTTCAGTCATATTTCGAAATTTTCGTTATTTTACCACGACTTGCTTTTTCTTGATTTGTTTGGTAATATTCATACGTACATCAATGCGAAAGAAACCCGTCCAATGCGATAGGAAAAATAACCATCGCCTTGGTAATCAAAAGGGGGTGGTGAAGAACATCGACGATGAGCGGTTGCTTGCGTTCTTTTTTATCAGGTCTCTCGCGTATAGGGGAGAGAAGCTCGTCGCGACGTTCATCCCCAAGGAGGACAAAAAGAAAGGAGGCAAACACCGGACGACCAGATTAATTATAGCGATGGAACGACAATGGCGCGCGTGGCTTCTTTGTTGGCCCTAATTAAATTGTCTCCCCTTCCTCGCGCACTCCTTCCACTATCCATCCAGTCGATCACCACCTACGGATAATGCCTCTTCTGCTCATATCGATAGTACACGATGAGGATCTCCTAGTTACTTGCTTGTCGTGTAAGGAGGAACGACGTTCGAGAAAGAGAGAGAGAGAGAAAGAGAGACATTTGTTCGCGCGCTTGGAGATGGGATTCATAGTGTGTAATCGTTTTCCTGCAAGATAGTAGGGACTATGGTATTGCAGCATGTATATAGCGAAGTCTCGATGTGAATTGATATTTTGAGAACACGCAGATGCGCCAAATTAGAACAGCAGATTAGAACAACGGACGATGTGTCAAGTAATTGGAATCTACAAGCCGATTAGTGCAAAGGAAAATAAATGCGCGATTCTCAGAAAAGCAATTGATTTCTTATGGTTGTGTACGTAAAGTTTACAGTCCGAGCTTTTGTGATTTTATTTATGTCTCATTTCCGGATAGGTGCATTCTCTCGTTTCAGAGATCATAAATCTTTATCGCAAAATAAACAATTTATATTAAGATATAATAGGCTTCTTAGTGAATTAATTTTATTATTATTATCAATTTCATATAAACTTCGCTTTACTTATACTGGAGACATAACAGTCTGGCCATGAGTTGATAAACTTTTGATTGACGTTTTTCAACTTCAGTAAGTTAGGATAAGTATAGAATATAATAAGATAGCATATATAAAAAGAAACGGTACATATATTTCTTTTTCACTCTTATTTTGTCAAAATTTCTTGTGACAAGATTCTGTTATAGACTCTTTAAATTATGCGAGTCGTATAATATCTAAAAGTAAAACTCATATTCTCCAATTTCTCAGCAATGTGTGAAAGCACATAATAGAAAACATTTAAAACTATAAAATGAAACAATCAAAGCCGTTTTTTAAATTAAAATCAAACACGTAAGACTTTTCTAAATTTTACAATAAAAAAATTTTTAAAGCTCAAGCAATAAGTATGCGTTTTATTTATATATTTATAATTTATATTATACCTATTCAATCAATATAATATATGATTGCAAACAGAACGATTATATGCATCATGTAGGTATCTGTTTAAAAATTTATTTATTTTGTGATAAATATGTTATGCTTTAATTCCGTCCGAATATGTTGATGGATTACAAATCTCATAAAAAGAGGATGTAGGACCTTGTTTATCTTTAATAATATATGCTTTTTTATATATGTATTAATTTCCATGTAAATTTTGGTTTATTACAAGAGCATATAAGGCATTTTAGAGTTATTGCTTACAAATAATTGTCATTATCTAATATTTTACTATTTGACGAGAAATGTATGAAATGGGGAAGAAGAATTATGAAATGTGCTAAGAGAAGATACGATCGATATTTTTGATGTATGTACATAGCTTCGCACGATTAGATTTTGGTCAAGACATTTTTAGTAGATTTTATTTATTATTGCAGTTGGCTGCCATCGCCTTGAACTTTGGTGTACTGGTCTCTGCCATTTACGAGGGCATTTACGCCCGAAGAGGTGGCGATCCGACTAAGATTAGGGTCGTAACGGATCCTCGTGGAGCCACCATAAATAATCCAGGATATCGGGAATATCATCAACCCACGAACGGTAAGCCCGAACTGGACAGCAGTTCAATTTTTTGATATCTGTGACTCAACTAAATTTTCCTATTGAATATAGACATGTCATCTTTTTTAATATCATGGCAAATAGACTCACAATCAAATTCGCCAAACTGGCAGTATAAGGCAGTCAATACGATTAACATCTGTTTTTAAAGCAGTAGAGTTTTTAATCTCTATTCAACTAACTGTTTATCTTTTCTAAGAATTAGAAAATTTTTTAAAACCACACAAAAAGAAAGCTTTTTTTCTTGCGTTATGACATCTATATTGCTCTATTATGGATGACTTTTCTTTGTCAAGATCCGCTTTGACGTATCCTTTCTTCTTGAAACACTCAATCTCGCTTTCGCAACGAAGGTTCGATAATAATTTATATTGTAGGTCATATTTGCCAATACTTGATGGTCGGCTTTTCTGAAAGAATTTGGTTTAGTCGGTTGACATAAAATCGATATAATTCTCAGAAAAGAAGGATCATGTTATCACGTCTGGAACTAAAATTTAGTAGTCGATTTAAAAGTGATGACCATAAATGTGATAAGAGAACGATACAGGAGAGAAGAAAAAAAAGAGTATAGAAAGAAGAACGTAGTAATACACGCGTAGTAGACTACGCTTTCTCTCGCTTTTAAAGTTTTACTACAAATATACCTATATGCAGGATGAGATAAATTGTGATGTGTTTTGTGTATTTGCTCGCCACTACATAGCATTTTTGAGACACCGAATAAATTCATCGTAATGTAGCGATTACGCTACGCTGCGTATCTTCACCATATTACTGCGCATAAAGGTCACCCCCAATACATCAAATCCATCTACCGTAACTTATGGACTTGGCGTCGTAATATGTTAGATCGTAAAACGAAGTGGCTTTTTTTGTCGTCCTGGTACGCTTAATGCTTATCAATGTTGTAACACACACTGCGAATAATATACGTATAAAATATATATAATTTAAATAATAATATGTAATCGTAATATTATCTATGACACTCTTTCTGCTAATATATAATACTACACTCCAAGCCAAAGGTTTGAAAATATTTTTAAAAAGATTGATATTTTTGGGATTACTTATTTAAATATTCATAACAATATATCCTTTTTAAACAATAATATTTTAGATCCAATAACTGTTATGGGATCTTAAGAATTATTATTAAAAACACATTGTTACATTGACAAACATTTGAGTAAGTAATCAAAAAAATGTTAAATTTTTTAAAATGATTTGAGGGTGCGTATCACAGCTCGTAAGCTTTTATGCATTCTTTTGCATATTATAGTTAGTATCCTATGCAGATCTCTCTCTCTCTCTCCCTCTGTATATGTTAGATGTCTATACCCATACAGCACCGAGAAACATTCTGAGAACATTATTAGGATATAGAACGTTCTTCATTTTCTTTAAAACGTCTTATGCTATATCCCTGGTAGCAAGCTGACGTCAAAATGACGCAGCTTGCTACCTGGGATAGGCTTGTGCTATATGAGTATAATCTAAAATATACGTACCTGTGATAACAGTTCGTTTACATCGATAACAATCCGAATATAAAAGAAATAAAAAGAAGTAAAAGTTTGTTTAATCAAGCAGCATCAAGAACAGAACGAAATGTAATCGCGTTGTTAATCTTATTGAGTTGCAGGTGGTACGATCTCGATGACAGACGCCAGCGGCAAACCGTACGTCGGTGGGGCCGGAAATGGATCGACGGCTTCGGTAGCGACTTCCAGTAGCGTGACTAGCACAGCCTCGCCCCTTAGGAGTTCTCTGAAGAAGCCCAAACCTCTTGGCATTCATAATCCTGGCTTCTCGGCACACAGCCCGACCTTGTCGAGGAACGGCTCGCAAAAGAAAGTGCGTATACAGACGCATTCGACGGAAGTTTAACTGACGCTCTTTTGGCACGTGTGCGTTGTCAGCATGAGCGTTTGCTACGTGATTGCAGTATCGTCATCGTTCAAGGCTGTTGCGACAGGAAATTGAATGGCGATGACAAGACGTCTACTCGAAGTAGTTCCATGTGCATGTTCCATTAACGGTAGGTGATTTCCAATATCACTAACTATGGTTGATTCGGCGATCGGAGACGATGTCTTTGCGGTATCAAACGATTTTTACTGTTCCACCATAGTCGAATGCTAAAGTTCTCTGTCGGTGACGTCGTCTATGATTTCGATAATGGGACTTTTAATAAGTTCCAAAGATGCGAATCAAGTCGTTCGTGAGTTTGGTATAATATCGTTACAATATAAAGTGTAAATAAGTTACGATTGATAATCGTCGGAACTCTTCAAAGCTACCTGAGTTAAATATCAAAGAAATTCAGATCAAACGCGTGGTTTGAACACGTTTTACGCCATGCTGATTCCTATGAACCGGCACTGAACTTTCCATTTACGCCACGCCGGTGCAGCGGTGATGTCCCAAAAATTTTTTTTAATATTTGATAGAGAGATCTGCTTTAGAGAACAAAACTGTACCATGCCTTTTGTGTGACTGATGATTCGTTAGTCGTCCCGGCATCACTTTGCTTCTCCTTCTTTTATTTACTTTAGTTCCCGCATCGCGCGTATCTTTCCAGTCGACGATATTATGTGGCGTAAACGGAAAGTTGAACGAAATAGGCTCGGCGCTTAACGTGTTAATAGTGACTTGTTGAATATATTAGGTCTTTTCCAATTTTTCTACAATATCTTTACACGACGTATACATTTATAAGTGGACTAATATAATAGAATATAAACAAAAATGAAATATGATAAAAATATTGGCGGGAGAATAGGATGGATTAAAATAGAGAAACATATCATATATGATAGAAAAAAACGAGGAAAATTGCATTTGTTATAAATATAATAAATCATGATGACGCAGAATTTAAAATATAAAGAAGGTTAAGAAAGCATTATATAATATAAAATATAACACATATGCGTGTGTTTGTGTGTGTGGATGTGTGTGGGCATGTGTTTGTATATGTATAAGTGATGAAAATTTTGATCTAATGTCATGCACGTATTTTTATAAATTTCATGGAGTATTGACCAATAAAATTCGCACATTAAGAACATGATATTAAGATAGCTAATGTCATAAATACATAAGATAAATTAATAAAATTGATATTAATTCAAATGATATTAGTAAATAGCTGAAATTAGTTGCGTTATTACCAATCACATTATAAGCAAAAATCAACTTTGCATTTAATTAATTTTTTAAGTAAAATGTGTTACTAAAAATCTGAATTTTGAAAAAATAAAAAGTAGGAAAAAAAATTTAACCTATTGGTATGTAAATGATAATATTATATTTTTATTTAAAATTGCATATCTTTTATTGCAATATAATAATATATGTTAAGGGGATTCTAAAGTCTGTTTTACTGACTAAACGCAATAATTGTTATATAACAATTATTATTTTCCTCTTTTATAGATTTGAAAATTCTTCTCTAAGATTAAAGTATACGCATTAATATGTGAGGTAAAGCTTATGCCGAGAACGAAAGCAATTGTTTAAATTGAGATTTTTACCATTTTTTAGTCTAATTATATGGCGTTAGAGCTGTCAATATCTTAACCATATTTGCTTGATATAAAAACTTTGCATTCTGTACTTACGAAATTCTGGTCCACAATTTCGTAAGTCAGCATTACTCAGACTAGTACTTTACATGAATAAACAACGTGGACTTCTTAGAATTAGACTCAGACATCTAATTAAAACGTTATTGTTTTATGAAAATTTATGTATATGTGTGCGTGATATTGATGTAATAGTATATAAAGACGATGTGTCGATATGTCGCATTTTATCGGTAGTTAGCGACCTTATTGGAGCTCGGACTTTATTTTAAGATCCCCTTAACAGATACATATTAAAATTTTAAAAAATTATGTTTATATATAAATATACTTTTTTAAAGAGATATTTATGAAATAAAGACTGTAATCTATCTCAATGCTCCATATTAACACATCTTACGTTCTTGTTTTATTAAATACATGCCAAAAGATAGAATTGATAATGAGCAAAAAATCGTTGATAATGATGTCTTAGAGAATTATTACTTTTATTGTTGTTGAAAGTTTATGCGGATGATATAAAAAGTTCGTCGTGCATTTGTTTAAAGTTTAATTATAAATCTAATCTCTTCCCCTTTTATTCTTTTATGTTGATCACGTATTGAGGCTCTTTAAACCGAATTTTCAATTTGTTTTATTATGGAAATACAAATTATTTTGGAAACATCTTGCTTGTGATAAAACATGATTAATTTAGTTTATACATTATTGGGGAGTTATTTGATTACGTAACTGTATAATTCAAACTGCAATAAATAATTTTTATTATCATCACACATTTAACTAAGCGCAATTTCCAATGTCAAAATTTAATTAGACAAATATACATAAATTATATGAATTGGAACTTTTGTAGTATGGTTTCTGTTTTGTTACGTATACAAACATAAAACCAAAATAGGAAAGACCGGGGATTGTTGGCATATGAGGCAAATTGGTATCGCGTTCCGTTTATATATTTAAAGAAACAATGGAAAAGTTACCGCAAAATATTTCTTTTATAACCTTAGTACTTTTCCCTAAATTTTATTCAAATCAAGTAAGTATTACAATAGAAAAAAGAAAAATTTGATTTAAGAGGAGGCAAGTAAATTTTTGAACATTTCATAATTTTGTATTAATAATCCTTCGGCTTGAGAAAACAAATCTATGTGATGTATTATTAGTTAAAAGAAAAGTGTTTGTATAAGACACTATTTTATTTGAGTACTAATGGTAATTTATTATAAAATGATAAAAATCAGACGTGTGCGGGGATGAGGTTTGTTGGCTTATTTATAAAAAAAATTAGACTTTCTGTACCGCACGCGTGAATATTCAATTGCAATTTAATTCTGTCAAAACGCTTTATATTTAATATTTCTGTATTAAAATAAGGTAACTAAAATAATATTTATATTTGTTTTTCTGTAACAACATTTTGCTATTTGATTATTTCAAAATAACTTTGAAAGATATAATTTCTATTAAGAAGTACATATCTACTACTGAGTTTTATTTCTATTACTTTTATATTACGTTTTTATTAATTTAATATGAAGTTTATCATAGAGGCAACACTACATCGTGATATGTATCAATTTACCCCGTCGGAGCAAGTTGACTACAATGCAGCATCTTTGTATTTAATTATTATTACGAAGAAACATATAGAAACTATACGTATAGAACTGGTATGAAAATGTAGAGAAAGGTTCTTTCTATTATATTAATATATTTTAATCGTAATAATTGTTTAAAAAATCTAATGCCAAAATTGTGAAAACCGTTCCAACAAATCCCGGCCTTTTCTGCTTGTTACAACTACTATTTAATGTAATCATATATCTAAAATATTTTCATACTTTTGAACGCTTAAAAGGAAATAGCAAAAAATTCGTTTAAAAATGTATATGAACTTATACATACTGTAAGACATATACGGAAATGAATCGTTACCGAATTTAATAACTCGTCGACAATTTTTTAATCCAATATATAAGTATTAATGATACAGTTACATATTATTGTTAGTTATCTGTGTTAATAATATTATTATTAACAGTTTTCCGTCCATTTAAGTACTTTATAATATTTAGTATTAATGTTCATTTATTGTATAATGTTTTACTAAACGTTTATTAAAGAAATATTCATAATGTATTATACACCGATTACGTAGAAACTGTTGTATACTTTGAAAAGTGTATTATTTGATTTATTTATTATAATTTTGTAAGTAATATAATACACTTTAATTTCACAAAAAATAGTTTCGATTGAAGAGTTGATTTGTAATTAAAGGTTGATTATACTACTTTTTGCATTGGTTAAAATTAATTATAATGTAAGAGTGTAACATATTTTGTGTTTTACAAAATTGAATTTTAAAATAAATAAAAGTTAATTCAGGTGATTTTAATTAAATCAACTTAACACGCTACAAAAAATAAAGTTTATTTATATTCTAAAGAATATAATTTTCATTTTTCATAAACTTAATCGTTAATTATAAAACTGTTCGGCATAACAAAATTTGCAAGATACGTGATACGTTTTCCTCTTTTTTTTCTTCTTTTGTATTTATATATTTTCTTTTAATTTATTAGTTTTAGTGATAATTTTATTTTCCTTCTCGCGGGAGGAAAGTGAAATCACATTGCATCAGCATTGCATCCGTCCAATCCTATGTAGGCAGCTGTGAAAATGGCAAGAGAAAGAGAGATATACAAATATTATATATTTATATTTTATATAGTAGTTGTTTTATTACATGTGCATATATACATATATATGTATATATACAATATATGTGTATATACATATATGTGTGCATGTATGTATAGTGATGAGAGAGAGAGAGAGAGAGAGAGAGAGAGAGAGAGAGAGAGAGAGAGAGAGAGAGAGACATGCATACACTGAAAAAAATACTAAATTTGAATAAATATTTGTTTGGATAATTCTAACAAAAATGTGAACATTTATTAAATATAAACATATATTTATTTTACACAAAACCCGTTAATTTGTGATTTAATTATTATCTTTTTATTAAGTATAAATTTATTTACTGTAATTAAACGTCTACTTAATTATACTATTCAGAGAAATATGTATTAAGATTTAGTAATTTTTTTTAGCGTACTTACGTACATGATGTATGTATATGTATTTACGTATGCGAGACAAAAATTTATTATTTGCGTATATCAGAGATCAAGATATAAATTTGTTTTTTTCTATCTCTCCGAAAGTATTATTATACTTTATCACTTATGATTTTTTTTCATAATTATTGTTATTATTACATGTTCAACGTATCTTTATTTTTACACAAATATTTGTATAACATTATTCGAGAACCGGCCTTGTTAAAATGTTTGTATTGCGAATCACGATTGTTTTTACAGACAATTGAAATGTTTTCCTAAATAAATATTTGATATATATACATGCGTTCAAAGTTTAATTTATTATCATATAACTCTCACAAAACAGTTGTATGAACACGATATAAATCAAATTAGAAATTAAGGTTTATCTAGTAAGTTGAAAACGCGTATATTAAGATCAATCACAAATCTTTAAGTGTGCAATATGCTTTTGTATTGAAACTTTTGTAAAAGATACCACCGGATTATATTTGTTTCAATACCTACTTTATGACAAGCATATCGCAATAATATGTTAAAATTACAGTGGCAAAGATAATTTTGTATCACAGTGAAAATAATTTCCAATTTATTATATTCTAAGATAATAATTAATCATAGTGAATGAGAAAATATATTCAATTTGTCGTAAATTCTTTGAGACATTATAATACAAAAGTCATATCATCCCTTTAAGAATTTACAGTATTTAATTATATTTAATCTAGTATTTGATTACATAAGGTAATTATATAATAAATTTATATCACTTTATAAAAGATGATATAAAAAATAAAGACGTATTTTCTACTTATTAAGAAGAAATAACTCGTGTGACGTCAATTGTAAATTTTTTACTGATGTGAAATTTACGGTTTGCACAGATGAAGTGTGTGTAGAAAAAAAAAGTATTTTGCTGGTGCAAAATTATCACCGCAAATGCATTCTTTACGTCATCTTACAAGATTGTTGTGACATATTTAATTTTCTTGTTATTGTTCATACTAGATAATGTGAATAGTTAACTTCTATTATTTAAATAATGAGCTGGTTAATGATGTGTAATCATAAATATACATATATTGTATATATTTATCGCAAATTTATCGTTCATATTCTAATGTGGACGATATATTTGTCACATTTGCACCTATCTATTATATTTGTTAAGTCGGCTGTTTTTGTAAAATTTATATGTATTACCCATAACGTGATATATAAAGTCTATGTGATCAATATTATTATACAATATTTTACATTAATATTGATCGTTTAAAAAACATTCAATAAATATCATATCTATATTATTGACAATATATTGTATTAATAATATTGATAATATAGGCACTATTTAAGTGATCGTCAAGAACGACACATAAGAAATTGAATAATAAATGAGTTAATAAAATACATGCCTGACTTTTATTATTATTTCAGATCTTTAATTTTTTACTAAAAATGTATTTACTATTTGTATTGATTAACGTAATAAGCATTACAAAAATTCTCGAGTATACAGGGTGTCTGGTAATTCTCCTGACAACGTTCGTGGGTATGTAGAACGAACTAAATTTAGTTGAAAAGTCGTCTATCATTTTGCAATTTTCGCTATTTTATTTTTAGTTGCCCAATAAGCAGAATGTCTAAAATCGATTTTAAGATAATATCTTTAAGATATTTCATAAAGAACTCTGAAAGATATCTTAAAGTTGTCTTATGCGTCGATTTTATCTGCTTATTTAGTAATCTTTAGAATTTAATATCTTGTTAACTATATTGTGAAATTTGCAAAATGATAAAGGTTTTCAACTTAGTTTAGTTCGCTCTGCGCGGACTATTATATATTTTATATGTCTACGAGTGTTGTCGAGAGAATTACCAGACATTTTTAAAGATATTCGATTTGTGAGGTTATACAATATATTTTATAATTTCATTTTTCCTGTATTTATAGTGTAACTCTGACGAAATATATGTAATAATTTAAAGAGAAACTGACTTTATTTAAAAAAATGATATATATTTATAAAATATATTGAAAATGCCTCGTGACGTTAACATTGATAATAATTTAGGAAAAGGATTTGGAACAATCGAATTTTTTTGTCTTTAATAATAAATCGTTTATTACTGTATTTTTTATCTTATTTATCAAATAGGTTCGATTTGCGACGATATTGAAATAAGACAATAATAGTAAAAAAATTAACTTTTATTTATTAACTTACAGACACTAGAAAAAAAACTTAACAACACTGATAATATGATATAACGCACGCGTCTCTCATGACAATTCACGTTAATAATTATTCACATTAATAATTATGTCATAGAGAAGACACATTAGAAAGGACAAATAAATTTCAAGTTTCTCATTGCTCGTCGGATGACAACTGCAATCAGGTAAGTACAGCGGAGAGATAACGATTTTTAGGCTGATTTCGAGCTCGCGACAATTAATATTTTTATTGCGAAAAGTAAGATAATACTTTTCACACTAATTTTCTTGTTTTCTCGATCACCCGTTATCTTAACTTTGTCAAGGTTCATCCGAAGGGTCGATAAAACTCTCGTCGTGAAACGAGAATGCGCATTTCGTCATGGAGATCCTTCGAGAACACGAGGACGGCACTAATACAGGAACCAACGAATATCTCGCGATTTTTCAAGATTATGAGAAACATATTAAGGAACATTTTTCCAGGCCACACCTGATCGGCAGTGACTGTCCTATTCATCGAATCAAAATTCAAAATTGTCATGTGTGTGATAATAAATATAATTTGATTAGTGTCATTGAATAAAGAATGGTGTTTTATTTTTAAAAATGTACTATACACTGGATCGTATATAATTCGATATATAATAGCAATTGGAAAAACCTCAAAAATACCGTTTCGACAATAAATTTTGAATTTCGATTCGATATTGTAATCGCAGATAACAAATTAAAAGTATCCCTCCCTATCCTTTGGAGCACTGGAGATTAATTCTCGTCTCTTCCACACTGGTTGCGTTGGTACGCGTTGCTTCTGCGTCGATACTGAAGCAGAAGAGGAAGGTAATATCGTCGACGTGGATGTCATGCTAAGTGGTGTCTTCCCAGCCAGGGTGTCGGCATCAGGTATATGGCGCGTCTGATGCCTTGAATCCGTATATCGTCTCTTCGTATACTTCTTGCTCTCGCTGGAGGTCACCGTTGAATTCTTGCTCGTTTGCAGGCTCGTGGGCTCGAAATCTGACCGCGAGATCTGCAGCATTCTCTCGATATCTGCCGTCTTGGACCTGAATCACGCGAACGCATGTTCGCGTTAGTTCGTATGAAATATTAGTAGCAGAATTTTCACGAACAATTTAACATTTACTGTACGATATACATATAATAAAAGCTTTTTTAATGCAAAATTGGAATTACTTTATCTCTACATGTGTATTATTCCTTTATGTTTAGTAATGCATAATCAATAGTAGCCCTGGTAGAATTAAATCGCTGACTATGAAATCGTTAAGAAAAGAAAATGACTAAGACATTGTTGAAAATATTTCAGCATAAATAATACTTTTAACATCAAAACACTATAAATTTTAAAAACAATGAAAGAAAATTAATAAAGAGTAATAAAAAATATTAAAAATTAATGCAAATATATTTTATATTTATACTGATTTATTCAGAGAAATAATATAATCCTTCCCAACTTCGACGAGAAGGTCGCATCAACATCTGTGCTCATGGATCTTATAAAATCAATTATTTTTTAGCACAAAAATTTTCTTCTATATTTGGAAATGTTTTATAAAACAAAAAAATTTTTTAAAAGATCCATTGTATTGTTTCTTCAAAAAAATTCTGTAAAATTATCTTCTTTTTAGCGATTTACACAAGATTCCCACTTAACGCGAAAAGAGAGAGGGACGAAAGGGGTTAACCGCAGCAAGGGGCAACTGTAGGAGCAACGGGGGGACAATATGATACTCACCTCAAAACCGCACCGCCAATGCTAGTGATGCTTGGCGTATACGGCACCGCTGTACTTTTACTTGTTTCCTGCTGACCAGTCGATCTGTTCACTTGCCTTACCTCACTCGAGGTCGTGAATGAGACTCTCTGGAGAACCGCTTGCTGATCTGGGATGTATGAAACGGCGGTGACCGTGCTGTCGGGACTAGCTGGAGGTGAAGACGCCCATGAAGGCGGGGAACTTAATGTCTGATCACCCGACAGAGTTGCCGAGGAACCCACGGCACTATCACTTCCGTGTCTTCCCCCTGAAAGCGCAGAGAGATATTAAGTTAAAATAGACAATTTCACTATTTAGCTTATTTCATTATTATTTTACCGTGAAATTTATTATATTTATATTATTTAACGTATGCAGCTAAGTGTACCGCTTTGCTCCAGTCTTCTGTATGCGTGGATAGAGTTTATTTAAAGTTTGTTTACTTACGGTAAGGTTATATAATAACTCATTTAATTCTTTTTTTTAAAACCTTTTTATCTTTATAGATTTAATTCTTTGTAATTATATAATTTATTTAACGGAATCCATTTTGTATATCTTCTCTTAATGATTATTGAATCATTAAGTTATTTATTGTTTGTGTGTTTTTTAAAATCGATTAAAATTTAATTAATATTGTTGAAATAACACATTAATTTAATGACATATAAATTTATTTTTTGAGTGTCCAATTTAATTAAAAACTACTATATTTGATGTTTTACATTTATTTTCGTTTAAAAAATTCAAAATGTTTTTACAACAATATTAAATGATATACAAAATACAAACCTTCGCTGCAACCGGAAACGGACCTTTGCCTTTGTCGCCTCGGAGGAGCGCTCGGTTGCTTTGGTGTTTCCTCGATGTACGGAATGTCCGGGTCGTCGAGGTTCAGGGTGAACGCGTCGGACATAGGTATGGTGAGACTCGCGGTAATTATTATCGGCGAGGATTTTCGCCGAGGATCAGATGGATCCTCGCTCGATCCGCTATCGACACTATTGCTTCTACCCTCCTCCTTCCTTCGGCTTCCTGATTTCTTTGGCCGTCGATGCTTTGGTCCAATATCACCGCCAACACCCGCGGTTTGATGTAAACATTGTTCTCTAGTCCACATCTGAAACAAAGAAAACGATTTTTTTTCCAGTAGACTACACTCGTAACATATTAATAAATAATAAAACAATGTTTACATAAATACTATTTTGAATAATGCCTTAATTATCCACTAATGATGAATACCAAAGTTATATTTGGTTATAATTGGGTCAATTAAATTAATATTAACGCTAAATCTACATGTAATTGTTATTTTATTTTGTGTCTTTAAAATAATATTAGTTTAACATCACCTTTTAACATCGCTGTATATTTATAAAGTAAACATTTACTTGAAACAAACCTTGCACGCGCGCAAAATTAAAATTAAATGTCAGATAACAATTGCATGATCTCATAGCACCTTTCTTGTCGTCGTTGTCGCAGTGGTCGTCGACATGGTCAGTGTCTCTTCAACTGAGAACGTCTCTGCCTCGCTACAGGGGTCTACTTCATCTCCACCTTGCCTGCAAAAACATGTACGGAATTTGCTTCGTTTCTTTATCTATATCCTATTAAACTATGCAAAGACACATATATACGAAGAATATTATTTCGTAATTCTGATAGTATTGTTCAATCATTGCTCGTTAAACGTGATGCTCACTCTTCAACCCGACGAGACAAGGCAATATCTAACTCCGCCGGATGAGTATCCATCATATGCTGATATACTTCGTCCAATAGCGCCGTTGGTACCATGAACAATGTCGACGTGTGTTCCAGAAGTGTTCGCACAACATTTATCACATCTATTCTCTCCTCGGCTCTTTCCGATGAAACCTCCGACCTCATTTGACCGGCTTTCACGCAATGCAAAATATTTGGCGCAAACACCTGTAAAACTCACTTTTAATTTGTGCATCACCCCAACCCAAAATAATTCCTAATTTAATGTGACCTTTTCGAAATAGTACCAATGACAGTAGCCAAGAGCTATATCAGTTGTCGAATTAATTAATTATTGAGAAATTTCGACACGGATATTCGTCACGATATAATGTTATTATTGACATTTGCAGAATTTTATGCAATGACTATGGAAACAGAATTAAAATTAATTTTTGTTAAAAATTTTCTTGACTAATATTAACTTAACTACTTCGCTTTTATAATAATAGATTTTTAAGAAAAAAATTTTAAATATAAGAATTTAGTTTGAAATTTGATGCATATTTCTACTAATAAAAAAACTCTTATTAAGTATTTTAACCGAGAGAGAGAGAGAGAGAGAGAGAGAGAGAGAGAGAAGTTATTAAAGTGCAATACGCAACTCAATACGGAAAGGATGATTGCTCAAATATTTGAAAATTTAGCTGAACACAGATCTAAATTTTGGTTAGACTATTAAAATAATTATGCAGGAAATTTAAGCATGATGAGCAACGATGTAAAAAATTTCGACATTCCAGCAACCAGCTTAAGCGTCCTACATAATTATTTTGATAGTTCAACAAAATTGTTTTGTATTTGTCTAGGTTTTTAAATACTTCAGCAAAACTGTTTTTGTCGTGATGGACTGGAACAGAATACAAAAAAAAAATCAAAATTAAAAAGTGCTATTAAATACTAACGGTCGCGAGATTCGTCGTGTCCATTTTATTTCCTGAGATCCATTCTCCTGTTTCGTTTTTCTGATCCTCACTGTTCGCTGCAACAACGCTTAAAAAATTCAGAAGTGCCCAAAGAGTTTCGCGATTGGGCGTGGGTAAAAGTTGAATGAGATGCTGCAAAGCTTCTTGTTGCAGTCGCCTGTTTCTGATTTCTGGAAAATATTTGACTAGCTCGCTTATCACGCTTTCGCCGAACGCAAAAATTAGAGGATTGAAAACCCATCATTGAAATTATGAAGTATAGAAAGATAGATAGGAAATGACTGACATTTTAGCATATTTTGAATCTGTAAAATTTTTACAATGCAAAAATTTTTGTCGCGACTGAATTATGAAAAAGGAATTATGTAAATAATGCTCGTCGGCAGTTTATATCACATTAAGACCTAGTTCTTGCTTACTTTGAGTGTGCACAAAGGCCTGATATAAATCCCTGCAAAGCAAAGGGTCCGGTAGATCACGGAAATATTCCTTCAAGAGGGTAGCTACGTCGTGAGGACATTGATCGGAACCTATCTTTGTCTCTCGACCGCAATCAAAATCTTCTCTTAACTGGAATAATTATAGAAATGTCACGCTTAAAATTTACATAAAAGATATACCTTTTCAGAATAAATTTATTTTAACCTAAGAAAATGCAATATAATCATTAAAATTATTTTAAACAAAAATACTTAACAAAAAAAGATCATTGTAGATTTAATAATACAAGACTTGGTATAAAGCTTTGGATATTCTCACTCGCTCTTATTAAATATTTACTTATTATTAATTTTTATGTCGAAGTAATCGATTCCTATTATAAATATTTAATTTCCATTGGTAATTGTAATAGATATGAGATATCATTATGAAGACATTAAGAGAAAATCCGATATCGTGCGATTAAGGTCTAAAAGAATTTAAATGTATAACCAATTTCCAATTTAAGCTCACATTAACCCTGAAACAGTGATTTAAATTACCTTTTGTTAACATAAATGTTTAATTTTTATGTAAATTCATTTATGTGCTTTTCTATTTTTAGATAAAAATGTAGCGATAAAAATTATTGTAGGTATTTTAAAGAACACTGTTCAGGAAAAATCTAATTGCATGTTGTATTGTACAAATAAATCTTAATTGTCTTATAATACTTTTGGCATTAAGGAAAATCATGTTATACAGTTAGCCACGAATATTTTTTCCAAGATAAGGTAAATACGAAAATGTTATTATTAAAGATATACGTCATACCTGCCTCACCCTTTTTTTCGAGGGTGACACGCGAAACACGCCTAACGTCCGAAGACCAGTGGCCTCGAGGTGTCTAATGCATTGCCTCACGATACCTGGTACCATGTCCCATTCACTGGCGAGGCATCCTCCACCACTGTCATTCAATTCGAGCACTCCGGAATCGCTTCCTGTAAGAGCACCACCTTTCGACGACAGGGACTCAGAAGATCCTCCCTAATTTGATAAAAGAAAATGTAATTTGTACAAGAAAGATAATAGATAGGAACAAAAAGCTGCATGAGTGAGTGAATGAGAGAGAGAGAGAGAGAGAGAGAGAGAGAGAAAGGAGGAGAGAACAAGAAGAGTAAAAGAAAAGAGACATAGTTTTTTTCAATATATAATATAAAAAACATAAATATGTGTCCGTTTGATGTATGTATAACTTATTTTCAAAATAAACTATATTTGAACTAGACTATCAAAAAAACAGTTTTAAATACGATCTATAAAACTAAACGTCTAATTTATCTACGCATATCAAGGATATGAGAGGTGTGTTGTCTCCTCATTTTACGACATAAAAATTTATTTATACAAATAATACACATATCGTATAAAAGAGTTTCTTATTCGTACATTTTAGCGGACTCCTATTATCATTTGGGAATAACGAATAAAGTTTCATGTAAAATTGAGAGTTCTTAATTAGTCTGCGGTTAAAATTAGCGATCTCGTTTCCCTTCTATTTACGTCTCTGATCTATGATGTCACTTCGAACGCGGGAGACGCACGTGACGTCGGCACGAGTATTCTACGTCGTGATGTCGTATGTAGCAATCGATCATTCTTGTTAAGCATAATTTGGCGTAAAGATGCTAAAGAAAACGATAGAGATCAATTAAAGACTATACATTTTTCCGATTTAAAATATAAATTATTTTGATTTTTGCAAAATCGTAAGATAGCATTTTTTATGTTCCTTTATATTTTTAAACTATATGAATAAAACGATTTTAATTATAATTTCTCTGTAATTTTTTCCACTTAAAGTAAATTAATAATTTTAAATAATATTTAAAGCTTAGAACCAATTTTCGATTACTACTAAGTGGTTGTGATACTGGATGTACTTAATACGAGAGGTAGGTAACTTCTGCGTAGATAACATGCACTTCCGGCAGATAACATGCACTGCATATTCAAAGTCGCTGAGTTTATTACTTTATAAAAAAACTTCAAGGCTGCTCTTTACACTGTATGTTAAGAATTTTATTTTTATTTATGTCGAAGTGGAACATTTAACAATAAAATTTTTCTATATTATAATAAAAAATATCGAATAATAGAAGAAAGTATTAACAAATATCATTAACTAATTTATTCTAGAATTTAAGGAAATGACGTAATAAGTATATAATTGTTTATACGGGACGAATAGAAGAGACAAAAAGGAATCTCTTATTTGCACCAGAGTTCGTTCTTTAGATATCAGTTTCTTACCTCTTCTGTTTTTGCCGCTACAGTCGGTGGAGTTTCTATAAAGCTAGAAAAACTGGTCCTACTTCCGTGCCTGCTACTCCTGCTTAAGCAACCAACATCAATGATCTCTCCAGCGGCAATTCTAGTAATCCTATCATTCTCTATGCATTGAGACAAAGGTATACCAAACACCAGACCACCTGCAATGTCTGTAAGCAACAAGGTCGATAAAAATTTTTTTAGAATTTTAATATAATAGGTAAACTTTGTGTTTAAACAATGTTTCATAATATTGAATTTATAATTACATTATACGGTACTCGGAAGCTTATATCGAATATTTTGTTTCAACAGTAATGTCGCATGTAGTAGGAAGTCTAATGAATACGTTCAGTACAATTTTGATCACTAACGTTTGCGCATGCAGATTTTTGTGAGTAGGTAATTGCATGCGCATGCAGATTTTTGAGAGTAGGTAATTATCTCACAAAAACCTGCAGACGCAAATATCTCAATAATTTTTAGAGTAGCTTTTTTGCACCATCGAATGGAGTGTATTTTGACAGAACAGAAATTAAAATTAAAAATAAAAAAAATTATCGAAAGCTTAAAGTACAAATTTTATCCTTGAGAATGAAAAAAGAGCCATAAATACGATCATTTGTCACGGAGTTATGCTTACTTGAAGTTATGCAAAATTTTGATATAAATTTATATTGCGATAATTTTGTTGACGAGTGTATATATAGTAATTCCATTCGAGTCTTACCACTGCTATTATTATCATCCAGATTTTCTGTATTAATATCGCTAATCCAATATAGCTTGAAATATTTTAACGACTCGATTTCTGACGCTCGAGGAAGCAGACTCTGCGTAGAAATGACGTGTACAACGTGACAGTAATTAGCATTAACGTTTAACCTACCAGTTATTGAGCATCCTTTCAGATCGTCGCCAAGAACGTATTCCAGAGAACGCATAGTTGTGATTCAAAGACAGACGAGGACTCTGTCCATGTCTATTTCGCTCATCGATTGTAATAAAAGCAAAATAATTCAAAACACATTTGCAACAAGCCTTGCTCCCATCAAGGGCCACTCGATCTAATTGGTATATAAGGTAACCGGACGTTATATGTCCTACCTAAGCTTTGCGATTTTTTTTCTAATTTTTGCTAAGTTTAAAATAAAAAACTGATGGTCATAATCACAACAAAAAACAATTTTCAACATTGAAAAGCTATGTATTATAATGCCCTATTTCTAAATTGTAACAAAACATTTCTGGCATTAAATTTTTTTGTCGATAGAAATCCATTTAACAATATTCATTTGACGTCATTTAATTTAGAATATTTCTATCAAAATTCATGGCAACCAGACATGAGTTGTTTTTGGAAGTTCACCTAATTATTCAATGGATTTAATGGATTTTTAAAATAATATTTTTACTATCTGTAAAAATATTTCATTCTGTTTTACTTTTGCTATTGAATTCTTTTCGTAATAATAACTTTACGAAGTAACTACTCTTCTGGTTGGGTTCTTTTATTCTACATTTATTTTGACCCATTAAGTCCCAGGAGAGTCTTTTGTAAAATCTTTTAAATCTTTATAACTCGAGTCCTAATTAAAATTTTAAGGCCGCAAAAATTTTGATTAGGACTCAGTTTATAAGGTTTTAAAGTAAAAAAGCACGTAGAAATCTAATGTTGAATTTGATGGGTTAAAATACGGTGATACGTACATGCTCTCACACGTGAAAATTTAACAATTTGTTTTTCTAACGACGTTTGTTTATTGACAATGCAATTTTCTACAAATCAATAGAAAATAATATTTGTAAACTAACAACAATCGAGAGAGAACAATGAAGTTTCATAGTTATTAGCTTATATCCCTCGAAGAATCAGCTAAAAGCCGAAAGGTATAAATGAATCGTGTCTTTATTATACCAGTCTGATTATAGACCGCAATCTGGGCCGTTCCAGCTTTTCTCACTTTAAAACATGCCTCTTGATCGTGAGCATAAGGCACTTTACGTACTACAATGTATGAAGAGAGCGAGCCTCTTCTTGGAAGCGTTGAAACGATCGGCATCGATCGTCAACACTTTATCACCTCTCCGTACGATGAATCCAGAGATGTAGGGTACGTATTTAGACGCGCAGAGTGTGAGCATACGGACATTGCGTGTATAAATATCCTCAGTGTATCTTGTTGCACACACACGTTTAAGTAATTGACATTTCCTGATAGATATATTTATACGTAGATGTAACTTCGTTTATCTGTATATCTGGATCGCTAATTTAACGTATTCTGAAAATGAAATTTATGGGTTTAAATTTTCACGTTGTTTTACGTTTAAGAACGATTGATTTGACTATATGATCGTTTTTTACGTATCTTCTGTACGTGACATTGTCAGGTAATTTGTTCGTCGACTATTACAACCTAAAAGCTTTAACTTTTAATGTAGATACATACATATATGCATGTATACACGCACATTAGCAAATGTTTCGCACACACTGCAATTATTTGAGACATCACATAAAATGGAATTAATATTAAATAATAGAGAACATTATAATTGTTTAAATAACATTGTTAGTTTAATAAGATGAGAGAGAGAGAGAGAGAGAGAGAGAGGGAGAGAGAGAAATATAGAACGTTCTTTATATGTTATTTTATATTATATGTAAGGGCACTTGTTATTATTTTTGTTCATCTTTTGTTTTTTCTTTATTATATTAAAAAATTTTTTTTTGTTATTACAAATCTCTAACAACTTTTTATATCATATTTATAATCTATAAATAATGTTGGTTTTATCCTATTATAAAAGTATAAGAGATTGGAGTTACTATCTCTTAAAAGTAACATCGTTTACCTCAAGGACAAGTAAATATCTATTTTCATTTTTATACACGTTAGAAATAAAATTCTAGCTCATACGGCTTACATGTAAATCGCGATGCATACAGTCATTTGAGGAAGATACCCGAATGGTACGTTAAAGGGAGAGTGAGCGACCTCGCTTTATCGGCTAAGAGAATCTCTAAATTGACGTCTGATGTCCCTACGCATGGGCACTTGTACTCAACGCGCGTGAACCACAAATAAACCTGATATATGTGGAAATATGTACCACTACCGAGCACTCTGTGACTAATTTTAGCCGGCGAAATTGTGTCTCATACCAGCCTGGTCGGCTGAAGCTAATACGACTGTCCTTTGCTACCTGTACATAGTTAAGTACATGCGTTTTTTGCTCCGATTATTGGATTATTGGACTACTAATAATGTATCTTATTTTAGTGAATTTCATATCAAATTAACAAATATAGAAAATGTATACGATCTTCTTAGAGTAGTATTGCAATAATAAAAATAATGGTGTATTACTCATTCTTATATCCTTGGGAAAATTTATATTAAATGAAGTTTAGGTTTTTGAAGGTAATTAAAAGTTTACTTTAAAAATTTTGAGGTAATTTAAAGTGTATGAAAGGTTAATCCAAAATAATCTAAGACTTTTAAAGTATTTTATTACTGACTTTGATATAATCTTAGAACAACCGATTTTATTATTTCTTGTAGCTAGAACCTTTAAAGCGTTCTTAAATTTTAAAGTAAAGCTAAATTGACATAAAGTTTACTCGCACAATACACAACACTGCCACAAGATGGACGTGGCAGTGCTACATTTTCTGATAAGTAAGATCCATACAGAATAGAATAAAAGGCTTAATTAATCAAGAGATTCTTCATTTAAGTTCTAACAAAATAATTTTTTGATGGTGAGCACAATTTATTTCTTATATAATTTTTGTGTTTTTAAAGCAGAGAATTTGTATTTTAAATAGAAAATTTGTGTTACAATTATAAATCTCGTTTTGTCTCTAAACAGGAGAAGAGAAATAGGGTGGACCTCGCATTGAGTGGAAAGGATGCCCCCAGGAGTTTATTTTCTAAAAGATTTTTACTACTAAAATTGCACTTTAACACTAAATATCTCAAAAACTATAATAGACCGCCACCTAGTTGTTAAGACAAAGTTATTCAGAATTATATGACCTTGACAACATATGTCAAGGTCAAGGTATCGACATCCCTTAAAATAAATAATTGCCAAAGAAAGTTCATAATCAAAAGGACAAAAAGTGCTTCTGGTAAATATGTTTACAAATAGGATTACCTAACTTATTTTTTGTACTGACCTAGCTCGGAACTCGAGCGGTACTACAAACAATCGATTAAAATAGATTAGAAATTTGTCCCAAGAGTAATATTTATCTTTATGTTATATAGTTTAAAATAATATGCAGGGTGACTGTTAAGTAACTTTAAACAAAGTTTTATCAAAATATCACTAATGACTTTTGAAATTTTTTTTCTTTCATCTTGTATCTTTGAATTTAAGCCGTTTCAGACATATTGTCATACAAGAAATTTTTGTCTTGAATTTGTGTAAAGAATCATTCTTAAAAATTTTTTATAATACTTAATTAGTAGCCACCCTGTATATTGTATGCATATACATACATACAATACGCGCAGGAATGTCGTAAACGTATCAAGTGATAGAGCACTCCTTCGAATGGCGAGCGTTCTATTGCGTCTGTCTGAAAATAACTGAACTAGTTATTCTTCAAACAAATAATTGCGCCATAAATTATGCCCGTTAAATATGCGGATTTCTATATATTAAACTGCGCATTACGTCTTAATTATTGATTTGACTGAATAAATTTCCTCAATTAGTTTCACGCAATGATTTTGATAAATTTCAAAATTTTTATTGTATAAGTAGAATGATTCATACGTTTCAATATTTTATGTTTCCAAAATTTCAGAATTGAGTAAGTAATATATTCATACGCGCAGAGAAGAAATATATAATTCCATGAAAAAATAAAATCTGACATTTTACGTGAAAGAAGTCGAAAGGAAATATAAAATTAGTTTAATTATATGTACGAAAATAAATTCCGATAGTTTGCAGAGTAAAAAAAATAAGAAAAAGTATACAAAGACGCGAGAAAGTTACTTCTGCTGTTACTTTCTTTCTTTATCTAAGCATCCGAGAAACTTTTTTAATTACGGTACAATAATTCTTACGCGGATTATCACTTGTTAAGTAAATTCACCTTATCTTCGCAATTTCACCTTATCTTATTCTATAAATATTATATGTTACGTATTATACATAAATAAGTAATGTTAAAAATTTTAAGAATCTTATATTAGACATTATATTACTTTCTAAATTCATTGGAGCGGAATCACACTTTAAAGAGTAATAATTAAGTCAGTCTTGAAAAAGAGAGAATCAATTTTCAATCTGTAAGAGTGAGATTTTTAATTCACTCTACAGAAAGAGATTCAGTTTAAAAGTTTTAGGGAGTAAATTAAAAAAAAAATGCTTCGACTATGTATTATAATAAGAATAAGTTACATGAATTAAGAAAATACAGTAATTCATGGTCTCCGTGAGACACTCATCAATATAGCTATACATATAAATTGAATAACTTTCATCACGATTTTTCTATGACGATGGAAATGAATTATAAGGTTGCGAATTTTGTTTCATCTGAGAATGGCTCGATCCAAGAGCCGAAACATATTATGACATTTATAGATTCTTTTATGTATGTATTTTAAGTATTATTAATAATGTTTATAAGTTCTCTTTTTTAAAAAATTCGACTCTTATTTGCTCATATATCTTTATGTTATTATTGTTATTATTATTAATATTATAGTATATTCCTAACGGATATCATTAAAACTCAGTGTCAGCAAAAGTCATGTAAAAGAATTATTCTAACTTTAGACGCTCCATTTGTGACTCTTTTTTATACATATGTCATAAATATTAAAATTTTCATTAAGATGGTTAGGTAAGCTCGTTGACCGGGCACAACGTTTCGTTGAACCTACGCGTTTGTTTCAACATGACCTAATGACCGCGATTCTTTGTCTCTATGAGATTATTTTATAAATAAATCGCATAAGTCTCGAATAATACCTGTGCAATTTATATCTTGTTCGTTCGCGAAACGATCTTTAATTGAAAGAGATAAATACGGTCGGCGCGATATGAATAACGCAACCATTTATTCTCAATGTTTGATCGGTTCTCAATGTGACAAAGATAACCGGCGACAGAATAATATAATAATAATTGGCACTTTATACCTACCTTTTTCCTTCTCATCTTTTCCTTTGTTGTCGAAGAAGCCTGTTGTAAGAGCCTTCCTTTTTAGCAAATACGCCCGTCTCTTTGGCTTATTCGTGGCCACTGACCCGGTACCGAGCGATTCTAAAAGAAAATAAAGAGATTGACCTGACAAATTTCGTATTCCAAGACATACTTCGATTTAATGCAACGCACATCTTATGCAATCAATTTGTAAAATCAAAGCATCGTCTGTTTTTTTCTTGGCGGAATAATAACCATAAAAAGCAGTTTTTTAAATAGAAGTCTCAGCTAAAAGAAAGAGATAATTAAAATTTTTTATCTTTGACTATAAATAAAGAGAAAAAAAGATTTAAAAATACTTTAATTATAATAAATAACAGGAATTTTTAATTATATATATATATATATATTTCTATGCTTTACATCAGTAATACGCAACCTGTTGCTCGTGGGCCGCATGCGGCCCACCAATTAATTTTCTACAGCTGGCCCACTGGCTCATAGCCGAAAATAAAAAATATAAAATTGTATATTTTATTTTACGTAAACTATCAAAATAATAACATGCGTAACATTCTAACAGTTTTCAAGGAAAGATTTATTATATTTGAAAATAGTTTATTTTTCATAAAATAAATGACATGTTTGTAAAATATTTAATATTTATAAATTATCTGATTTTTTAATTTCTATATAAATGAGACAAAATTCAAACTTAATTATTGTTGTAATTATTTCTACACAAAGCATACAATTGTGTAAAAATGATTAAAGTGTATTGGAATAGACAAATAAAAAGTTGTACCTTATTATAATATCAATAACAAAATTATATCTGTAATTTTGCACAAAAATTGTTTTTTTTTTTTTTCATTTTTGTACGCGGCAACTGTTTAATTTCTCGCTCATTTTAAACGATTATCTAACATAAACAACGCATCAATTCTGGCTAAAAAAAATTTGACTTAAAAGGGTTTGAATTAATGTTGAATCTTGAATGTTCAACTTTAAAAAGTTGAATTAATATATAAAATATTAAAAATAATATTTGATGTTAATGAAGTATATCATAGAATCGATTAAACTCTTTTCATCCAGTATATACTTGGAACAATCTCCAACTTCTTCTCCTTGCTGTTGTCGCCGTTTCTTTTTGAATTTCATTCACTACTTTTCTTCAATGGTTTAATTTGGATGCATAGGGTAGTGTGTAATTTACGTTCTTGAAACGACATTTGACTCATATATAGTGACCCATACATAACTGTGCTTGCAACTATAATGCTACTTCGAAAGAAATAACGTTAATAGCGCGTTATGACGTACAACGCTGCCATTAGCGGTTACATATCATTATGTTTTTAGCACTATCTCCGCGCACAGGTTGTATAATTTGTACACTGTCATTCGTTTTAAGCACTTGTAGATAAGAGCCAATATACATGGTCAATTCTTATATTTACGAAGATCTTAAGTGTACTTAAGATATTACAAACCGACTGGATAATCGTGTATTTTAACATTTTAAGATATTATTTAAGACGGTCTTGAAATAAGAACGGACTATAGATATCGGACAAGTACACGAGATGCTGTACATAGAACTAAATCTTTTTCTCTGGAAAAGTAGTAATATAAGCGTGAGATTATTATTACTAAAAATGGACTCTACCAGTATTCTTATTTCTTACTGATCCGTGATATAAAACGCGTTTATATTTTCCTTGGAAAACTTTACTTTAGGAAATTAAAAAATAATACTTAAAACTTAGAGAAAACCTAAGAAATATGAAAGGTAAATTTGAATACTGTCAATTTTCCTTTAAAGTTACTTTCAAACTTATATTTTAAGCACTTAAAAATTTTTTCTTCTTAAATATTTTGTGGTCTTGCAAATATATGTGATAAAAACTTTTATTATTTTTATTAAAATTTTAACAAAAAATATTACAAAATTAAATTACTTATTTAGACTGATGTTGTTTTAGCATTTAAAAAATAATGAAAAATTTATCTATCAAGTAACAATTAACTTTTAAACAATTGCTTTTTTAATTAAAAAAAAATAATTTTCTATTCCCTGATTCTATTTTCTCGTATTACAAAATTTTAATTACATTCAGATTCTTTCGTTCGCATGTTATCACAAATAAAAATCACAAAAGAAGCGACATTAGAATTCAAGTGACTACTCCACTGTAGGCGAACACTTGCGATTATAAACACGTCAATCATTTAGAGTTCAAACGAAACAGTCGAATGATGACATGTCTTTTGCGATAGATTTTGAAGTAATGTCTTAGGCCCGGTTGTATCGTTACGTTGACTTTAAGCGAGGCTTAAAATTCTCTTTATTTCTCCCTCTCTTTCAGTTTTAAAACGAGACAGATAGAATTATAAGCCTCATTTAAAATCAAAGTAACGTTGGTGCAATTGAACCTTAGATACACATGCGAAAAAAGATTCTGAGATTTTACCCTTATATCTACTCCTAATAAGTCAATCGGAAGCTCAAGTTCTTAAAAAAAATAAAAATTTTCTTATATAACATTTAAATGCATCGTTATAAAAATTAACTAGTTCTGCAGAGTTATCTAATAAAAAAAGTAAATAAAAACTTTTCTTTTGAAAAATAATTATTTTATCTTCAACTTATATTAAGATTAATAAAGAATTTACTTCAAAACATAATAGTTTTCCTAATTTTTACAAGAAAAATTACTTTGAGTATAAAAATATAAGGAAATACAAGCTAAAGAAATTTATGTAACGCTGGAAGTGCGAATTTGCTGAAAGAAAGAAGTTTTACACCACAAATAATTTACATCGTATATGAGGGCGTTGAGGAGAAAGCATAAGGATTCGATTCTATAGGGTGTACAAAAGCATTTGAGAAATTCATGACTCTCATCGTTGTTTGTTAAATAAAACCTAGCGGGAGCGGTACGCTTAAATGCGCCAGGAATTTCGTTGGACGTAGTTTCCTCTTTTCTTTCTCCTTCGTTCCGAAACAACTATATTCCACGGGCTAACGCAGATGGCTTTAATGAAATTGCATGTGCTGGAGGAATTCCTTAGGATTTGCGAGTAACGGAACGCGGATATGGAATGTTCAGAAAGATTGTGAATATTATTCGAAAATAGCTAAAAGCAATTTTTAAAAATATATAAGATATATTTGGATAATAATCATCTAACATGGCCACATATCTAAAAAAAACTATTAAATATTTCTGATAAATAGATATGCTATAGTATCAAACATAAAATGAAAGATTCCACCTGACTGATCAAAAAATTTGTGTTAAGAGCTGTGATCAATTGTGATAAGAAATGTTTAATGTCATTTTATATTTCATATTTTTTTATTTCCACAATTTTCAGTGATTTTAATCGAAGTGTAAGTATAATATGTTATACATATATCATTTTAAAAATAATTGTACGCAAATTTCAAATATATTTATGTACTTGCTTTATTTCCTTACTGTTTAAGAAATTTAAGTATTTAAAAAGTAAAACTGTAATTGTCAAGTAATTTTGACACATTGATAAGAAATTTTGTGTGTTGCTATACGCTAGTTAATTCATGATTAATTATAAATTTGCTTATTAAATTTACTGTTAATATTGCTGTTTAAATATATATTATTATTTAAATTAAAAATTATTGCACACATAATTCTTATTAAGCTCTTTCGATAAACAACTTACCGCATGGTGGTCTAATATGTACACCCAGATTAAGTGCTTGAAGTTTCGCTACGGCTACCTTGCAGAGAACTTTCCTCTCGATATCGGATAATGTTCGCAACGATGTGTCCTGTAGAGTTACACGCCGACTTCCTGTGCCTGCCCATGTACATTTTCCCTGTACCAGAAAAGAAATGGTACATTTTCTAGTTAACTTAGGACTTACTAGTCATTCATAATAAATATATTTAATGCAATATTGATACATTACGACAATAATTTTGCAATACGAGAAAGATAAATAAAACTTAGCTGTATATTTCAAATGTGATTTATGAATTCCAATTTTATTTAACTATTCTGTTGTAAATAAAATATCCATAATAACTTTGCAATTAACTTTCCTTTTGAAATACCAAAAATATTAAAACGGTATGAAATAAAATAAGCGAGTAATCTTTGATAAATAATGCTGAATTGTTAGTAAAAAGAATACGAATATAAGAAAATTTATAAGAAAATATAAAGGAAACGAAATAAATTATATATCTGTATACTTGGCAATTTACCACATAATGTAATAGATGCCATCACACATTATGTTGTTGTAAAAAGTAAAATTGCAAGATTGAGGAGTATAGAACTTAATATAATATAACGTAATATTGCAAGATACGATGTCAATGTTCGATAAAATAAAACTACAGCAACGAAAATCAGCGATATGCTTACACGTTTCATCAGCATCAAATTTCAAACATTTTCCACCTGTTAAGTTACTATTTATTTCGCTAACGTCATCACAGTCGTACGCAAAATGGAAATAGCCAAGACGTGCTTTATCTCGATTAATATTACTAAAAATAGTCATGTTGATACGTGTGGGTGGATATATAACGCATATAATTATTTTAATACAAATATGCAGATTAAATTTTTTCTGTTTAACATTGCGATATAATATGCGATATGATATCATTTTCTATATTCTATATAAATACTGATGGAAAATTAAAATGAATGTTTTATAAAATTTGATTTATATTTATTATATTATTTATATATTTTCATAAATTTTAGATTAAATATCTTAAAAATTCTGTAATTATAGTAATTCTGTAATTATATACTATCATTAGTACGGTTAGAATGTAATTTTTGAAAACAATTTATTTATTCTTTTTATAAATGTATTCAATGGTTTTGACTATGTGAAAATATATGAAAGAGTATATAGAAAAATAAAAAAAAAATATATATATATATTTACGAAAAAAAAATTTAAAAAGTTTGCGACCTGCTTATTATAATCATACAGAGAAAATTGTTGCTGGTCACCTTTTGTATATTTCGAAGGTTTGTCAATGTTTACGAAGAATTTTGTATGGGAAACACGTGATATATTCGAAGCATGAGAGAAGATCTAACAAAACTATGTAAAGATGAAGAAGGGACATGATATCTTCTGTAAATGCTAGTAGCTTAGTTTTGAACAATATCAATTTAATTTTACTATGGCACTGTTGACTCTTGTCCGACCGAAATACTTTTTCGTTTTTTATTTCATCTTTTATGTATTCACCACAATCAATCACAAAAAATTAGATGAACATTATAATATCTGTTACAACGGAATTTTTTCATATAATATTATTATTTTATTAGTGATATTTCTTTACATAAAATTATAGTACCAAGTAAATTTCATGAAAAAAGCAATATTTTTCGTGCTCAGAACGTAATGTTAAATAACATAAGATAATTTTTTTAGTAGAATGTTTTTAAGTTTTACATGAATAATTTTTTTTGTATGATTTTTAAATTGTAAGCAATCAACAGAAAAGGAGAAATTTTAATAAATTGGAATTTTAAGAAATCGAACGAAATATCATCTTTAAGTATAAACTTACAAGTATAAACTCAAGTAAAGAAATAAAATCATTAAATTAGAGATAAAATCATTAAATTAGAGATGTCGTTTTATACAAAGTATGTCTACTATCAATAATATTTTTTGTAAGACAAAAAAAATGATATTAATAGTTATATATAGATATTTCTATAAATTTTATAAATGCATTTTTATATATCCGATATATAAAAATGATTTGGAAATATTTAACTATTAATTATGTCAGAAGTTCAGTAGTATTTCTTCTTTAAGAAGAAATTAAATTCTGGTTACACAGCACTATAAACGAGATAATTTGGTGACCTAAATAAATTTAATTTTTCATATTGCAAGAGGTAATTTTTTTTTTCCTTTTGCGATTCCGTGATGTATTATTCGTTGAAATAACGAAGAAATGCAACATGAGAACAGCATGGACGCGCCGGTGGTAATAGACTTTGATTTCAGTGTGTATAGGTATATCCAAGTAGTAATAGCGGCAAGGTTTAAGTATAGTTATACACATCGCTACGCGATCGCGCGCGCGCACGTTAGCTGACTATTTCTGGCGGCGCCAGCAAAATTCCGAGGCCCTAAATTGGTTATCGTGCTTACCATTTAACGAGAATGTCTGCCGCAAGGTCGACCCCCTTTTTCCTGTCTTACATTTTCTCCTTTTACATTCCCCATACGCCTAAATACTTTAATTAAAGGACGAGAAAGTATTAAAGAAGAAAGGAAAGAAGCGTGAATCACATGATTATTAAACACAATATATATTGATATACGAATCTTGTCATAGAAGAAATATATTCTGTAAACTATAAACTTTAAAAAAGGTATTCAAAAAACATAATTTAAGTTATATTTTTAAAATAAAGCTAAACATATGTAAAAGTGAAAAAATTGTCCATAAATTTATATCAAGATGTTTATTATTATAAAATGTTACGCAAAAAATTAAACAGAGAGTCACATTTTTATAATACTATGAAAAATTTTTTTGTAAGCTAATTTATAATGTATATCTAAATATTTAAGTTAATATATAAGAGAACATACACATCTTTTTGGATATCTGTTAAGGATATATATATAAATGTGGGAAAGGATATAAATCACGCATTTGAAACTTTTTTTATGTTAAAGGTGACAGAAAAGAAATTAATAATATGTCATTGTATGAGATATGCGAATAACGGGTTGTTTCTAATTTATTTTTACTTAATATACTTTACTTTTTATTTAAAATAATGATTTTAATATGTAAAAGAAAATCACCAGACTGACATAAATCTCTTAAAAACAACCCCTTGTTTCCAGGCAAAATTAAACATTACATTTTATTAATATTAATAATGATAAAAATAATCTATTTAGATAATTGAAGAAATGAAAATTTATAATTCATATATTTGTGTGTGTGCATAAAATTTGTTTCTACATCAAATTAGCTAAAAGTAAATTCTACAAAAATAAAAATAAAATTGTTATTATTTTTTTTACAAATTGCGTAGTTTAAATAATATTGGCTATATTATTGATAATATTACATTCTTTAATATATGTTTATGGTTTCCTATATCTGTTTCATTTTATTTTTTTTTTTTAATAATTTTTATAATATGATTTTTAATATAAAATTGCAGTGCAGCGTAAATCGATATACTTATTTGTAATATGTGATTATTAATATCTTTATATCCGAAGTTGCACACGTATCGAAAAAAGTATAAGAAGGAATGAGAAGGCATGTAAAAGCATATTGGACATTGATCATGTGTATAAGGCAGTCCATAAGTTAACTTAATCTTAATAAGATTGGAAACAAGACTGTTTATGTGAGTACATACCTAAATACGAGAAGGACCAACTTCAGTCAAAGTTCGATATTAAACTATAATACATATACAAGATGTTTCGTATTATTTCATTATAATCGTGCTGATTCATGTTCGCCAGTAACGTTTATTGAATTCGGGAAATACTCGTGAATATTTGCAGATTCTCGGGTTTCTAGATGTCTCCAATAATGCTTTCAGCCTCTCGTTACTTTCTTTGTACAATCGAGAGAGCACTTCTCGCTCTGCCGTGCAATACCAAACATCACCCAATATCTCTTAAATACTTTATTAAAGTTAGGTTACGTTCAACCTTGTATAAGTTCTTAACATTACTTACGCTCCTCAAGATCCGCGGCTCATTTAAATAAAAGACAGAGACCACATTGCCTCAATTGTGTCGGCCGTGGAAATCCCGTCATTTACACAACAATTACCCAACACAGGGTGTAAATAAAGTCACAAACTTCGGAGCCAAGTTCCCGACATCAAAACATGGAAAAAGTTCATATAAATACATGTCCGTAAATCCACTGTTACTGAAATGTAGCTCAAAATGTTTAAGTATTATGTATGGCTCTTACGATTCCCTGTTCTAAGTCCTCTAGATTTTTATCTGTGGGGACACTTAAAGTTCTTAGTTTATAAAGTTTCAATTGCCAATGAAGATATGCTACGCCAATGTATCTTCGATGCTTATGACACCAATTGCTCCGGGATTTTTGAAAGAGTACAATAGTCTCTGATTTGGTGTGTCCAAGCGTGTATTATATGAAATAGCAGACACTTCGACCATTTGTTATAATTAAAAATTGAAAATAAATAAAATACTAAATAATAATAAACATAATTTTTATATTCTCCTATTAATAAATAAATTTTGAGGTGTATCTCAAATGAGTTTGCGAACATATATGTTCATATGAAACTTTTTAAGTTTTCATGTAGAGAGCCGGCCCCGAAGTTTCTTACTTTATTTTAGTTACACCCTGTATATGCTATTCTTTAAATGAATTTATTTTAGAAATTATAATTGTACGCCGTTACTATCGGTCTTTCAACATAATTAATCTAAAACATTATATACATAATAATCCCTCCACAAATTTAATTAAAAACATCTTAAGACCTGTGTAAAGAGCTTTATCGTTAGATTAATGTTAAATTAATGTTTTTATCGAAGTAAAAAGATTTGAAAAAGTCTTATATACATATATTCACTTTTAGGTGCTAGTGTAGCACTTTGTACACACAACTTCTACAAAAAAAAAAGAATAGAAATATGTGACATTACTGCCTACTGTGTCAGTTTTAGGGCCAATTTTGTGAGACGCTCATTTTTGCTTAACTTAAAAAAGTTAATTATTGCAAAATTGCAAATATTATTTTAAAAACTTCTATGTATCGTCTGATAGACGATACTTTCTAGTCTGTATTTACACTTCTTAAGTTTCATTTTAAATTTTTGTTTAAGAAATATTATTTAAAAACAAAGTAGTATGTCGGCATCGGTGACCTTCCTGTATTTATATTGCAAACAAATGGAGAATGAGGGAGTGAGAGAGAGAAAGATGGAGAAAGACTGTGTGAGAGAGAGAGGGGGGGGGGAGAAAGGGGGCATGGATGCGATATTATTTATCATTAAGTATAAGCGTATTCAGGCCTATGATGGTCAAAGCTAGATCTTTTTTGCCTAAATAATTCCCAGTGAATTATCTATATCCTTTGACCGTCATAGGCCTGAATACGCTTATACTTAGTGTTTAATTCTTGTCGGCCCGAATAAAAGAATCTTATTATTGGTTATACACGCTGCCTGCAAAAAAGCGTTATTGTTCTTACATATACTGATTATTGCGAAGAATATTACTAAGGCCTCGGTGGTCTAATGGCTTAGGACGCTCGTACGGAATACAAGAGATCCGGGTTCAAGTCCCGGCCGAGGTAATATTTTTCGCAATAAATTTATTTAAGGTTTTCAGCACATTGTCAATTTAATTTAACTTGTGATATTATTGCAGTAGTTTAATTGCGTTAGATAAAGTCCGGAAAAATTTCGGCGCGCAGTTTGAATAACTACAAAAATATGATATATATGCATGTACATATATAGGATATAGATAATTCACCGGAAATTATTTAGGCAAAAAAGATCTAGCTTTGACCGTCATAGGCCTGAATATGCTTATATTTAGTGTTTAATTCTTGTCGGTCCGAATAAAAAAATCTTATTGTTGATTATTTATCATGTTTATGATAGATATTTGTGCATTATAACTGCAAATGTTTAATATATCGCAATTAAATTAAGAATAACACTTTCTCCAAAAATAGCGTCACCAATTTCAATTTCGACACCCTTATAATTCAGAATCTTATTCTTACACTTTCAAAAGATATTCCTGTTTCGCATAGAGCCGCACGGGTTCCACCGCCAAAAATTGCCATTACGAAAATGCGGATCTATGCCAAATTCATGATATCCTACTATTCCTTTTTATTAAACTTTTTACTAATCTCGCAGAGACGCCAAAGAATGCGTTCGCTATAGTTTATTGGAAAGTCTATAACACATACATACATTTAATATAACTTCCAGAACGCAATTCATACACATTTCTCCTTTCAGCTGTCGTAGTTTATTACAAATGGCGAAGATAATTCTACAGACAATTCTATATTTACAAATGTAATTACTACCATTCATTGTCAATAAATGAGAATTTCACAAAGGAGATAACGATTTTAACAATTTATGCAAACTATTTTTTTTTAATATATTCATTTCAATTGAAATAGTTTTAGATACACATACATATATGTGTTAAATTATAACATATTATAAATTATAATATATTATAATAATTACAAGTTATAATATAAACATTATATTAAAAAAAATTCTTTTGAAGAAGCTGAAAGACCTAACAACATATTTAATTTTGATTGTAATAAAATTTTTCTAACATCTCCTGTTACATATCATAATTATAATATGACAAAATATGTACAAAATAGCTCTCTCTCTCTCTCTCTCTCTCTCATTTTTACAACTTTAATTATAAATTTCCCAAATTTATGTCGTGATGGAACAATTAGGAAAACGGATTCTGCGTACAAAAAACTATAAAAAACTACTAATTTTTATGCAAACAAACTATTCTTGCTTCTTGTTTTGGCATCCGAAAGAAGATCGTATTTTGTCGAATAGTGTATTATTATATAACATAAATGAAATTAATCTTTAAAAAAAAAATCTTTCAAAAAATTAAAAATTTTGATATAAATTTCTTTACAATTTCTTTGCCATGATTATACAACTTAATATTATATACAAGTGGAAGGAGACTCACCTGAGGTGTCCACACGGACGGCTGATGCGACACCCTCGATGTGCTCTTGCTCCTGGACCGCCAAATTTTCTTTGCCACTAGCCGGCTGCCGTGATGCACCACGTTACTCGAGGATTTGCTCTTCTGCATTGCTGTGCCACCTGCGGAATTGGCGGACGATGACGTAAGTGCCGGCGAACCGGGTGCCGAATGCGGCTTATGCGTGTTGGAACCATGCAAGAGATGGGAAAGGAAGGACTGATGGTGATGGGGATGTTTAACGGGGGTGGAAGCCTCTTCGGAACCGAGGCCGGCGTCGATGCTGCTTCTGGAACTAGCATTTCTGCTGACAGGCGGAGATGTCGTTGTGTCAGCATCCGATAAATTCTCGGATGGAATTTCTCCGGGACTGAAAAAGGACATTTCGCGATAATGCACCATCCAATTATCTTCTGTCTGGCAGCCCTTGTTATTGCCATCGTCATCGCCAGGCTTGGTAATCTCACCCTTGGCTTTGATATTCCGTAAATTCCGATCATAATTGACTCGCTTAAATCGGTCGATCTTGTCTGCGTCCATCGATTTCTTCCGCGCCATCCGCAGATACCTCTTGATAGTGTCACTCACGGACGGTGACACGTCGTCATTGTCAACGCTACTACATCTTCGTCCGCTGGACCTTTGCGATATCTGTTCCTTTTGAGAGGATTCTTCCTTTTCCTTCTCCAATAAATACATATCAAGGACACTTTGAGAAACTGGATCGGTTTGCACGCCATTGTCGAGAAAACTTCGATCGGTGCTAGGCCCTTGGACAGAGATTAGAGGTGGTGGTGAAATTGGGTCTCTTCTAGATGACTGATTAGATTCTTTGGTAGGTCTACTTCTCTCGTGAGCCCACCATCGAGTTGACGGCGAGGTGTACGCACCGGTCGCTCGGGGTCCCCGAAAGCCTCTAGTACATCTCAGATCGAAATAAAGTTTTTCAAGGAGCTTTCGATCTGTCAAAATATCGGATATAACATGTTCCCGGGAAGACGATTTGCCATAGTAACGACTGAGCGTCTCCATTAGCGATTTATGAACGTAATCGCCCTGATATGGCAACATGGATTCCGGAACTATGTCTTTCCTGCTAGAAGTACTTTGACTGAGAAAAACTTTCTCACGTTTAGCCTGAGCTACAATCGTATTTAAATGCTGTTGCAGCTTATCTATTAAACTACGATAGTCAAAGGGTTCTTTCCCTTCCATCTGTTCGGTTGTATCCTGTGACTTGATAGCCATCCTCGCCGGATTGGCTACAGTGTTACCATGCATGTTCAGGTACTTCTGTAGCATGTCAGCCAATTCTTTGGCCTCGGTGTCTTCCTGAAATGTCTTACGACGCGTTATCGGACTTGATGGCGTGCTACCGCCATCGCCGTCACCGCCACCGCCATCGCTACTACCATCGCCACCGTTGCTACCACCTGACGTCAGCAACCACTCTTTTTTTGCCTTTGCCAGATCAAATGTGCCAGACGTGGTTGCAGAAAGAACGAAACTCTGCGGCGAGCTTCTGGCGTCATCGGCCTCATCAGCCGAGCTAGCCTGAGTTCGATAGTTGCCACCTTTAGTCTGTCTGTGACGTCGCTGGGCGCGAAAATTCAGACTGCCAGGATACGAGGCCTTCCTCCAAAGCAAAAAACGCGGTTCTTTCTGGCACACCTCTTGAAAGTATTGCTCGATCTTTGGTATGTCTTCTGGCCGGTTGTGAGTACCATCGGGGATGAGACGTCTGCCGGCATCGGCCATGTATCGCCATGTCTTTCTGGTGAGCAGCCATCGCTCCTTGACGGGCTTACCGGACCGTTTGGTCCTGCGATCTTTGGACGCAGGCTGTGTCCCGCGTATCGAGTCCGCACTGTCGCGACGCGAGCGTCTCCTGCCTCCATCGGGACGCTCTGCCATCGTCGCGTCCTTATCCCGTTTCGCCACGCGAACCACCTTCGCGGAATTGTGTCTTTCTGATATCGTGCACGATAGGGATGGTTCACGGACGGTTAGCCGTCCACTACCCTATACAATTATTTTACCATACCAGTCGAGATATAAACGTCCCTTTTTCTCCTTTCACTCACAATGATCCATCACTTCACTTTTGACTGCAGAACATATCAAGTGAAACAAATACGCTTTGCACAGGACACATATACGCCATCTTACTTGACCACTTTAGCATCGAAGGAAGTATCATGAAACTGATCGGGAATAGTGAGGCAAGGCGATGACGCGATTTCTTGGACGACAATAATTCTGCTGCTGCTGTAAAAACAGCAACTAGATGGAAAGCCAAGCGCGATTGACCTCAGCGAGTGAAATTTGGGCTAACGAGAAGTCACTTATTTCTATTGCGCGATGTAGGTACAATCCAACAGCAATTTCCACGATCAGTAGCGGCTTGCTAATGAGATCCAATACTAATCAATCCTATATAGAAAGTAGAAATTAAAAAGACACTCCAAATACGAATTTCTTCACTGCCGTGTGGTTTATGAAACTATCTCTTCAAGTAGCGAAGTCTTACAGAAGATAGTGTAAAAGACAACGCGTGTAAAACAATATGACGTCTCGACGTTCGTTTATAGACGTCGAAATCGCAAACGTTACACGTATGAGCCGGCAAGGTGGAAGCTAAGATACGCGACTACTGCTCCTCAAGGCGTCGCGACACTCGTGGACGCTCTGTGTCTAAAAGCGTCTTTGCCCCTTCTCACCCCTTCCATCTCACTCGCGTGCGGAAACGCGAGCGAACAAGCGGCAAGCATAAGAGAGGATGGATGCTGCAGAGACGACAGCAATGGACTAGATCGAAGAAGAGATATAGAAGTTGCTATGGCCTCTCTACCTGGACTTGTTGCAGACCAGAGTTGCGGAGGTGCAACGACGATGACGTGATATTGTGTAGTCACGCTTTGCCAAATATCAGTACAGCGCTTTTCGGTAGCGTACCATTCATGGCTACTAGCGTTTCTCGATGAAACAATATCGGTTTTAACAAGATTGTGATAGTATATTGCTCTTCGTTGTCATAATATCGAATAAGAAGACAATGACATGTCAAACTGCAGAATTATGACTTGAAACCGCCGATAACCGCGATACCAAATAATTATCATTTTTATAAATTTTTTGTTAAAAGAGGAGCCAACAAGAGATTTGAAATATTTGTGCTACACCAAGCCACGAATTTTATCAAATTACAATTACGAGTATACAAAGAGCAATTTAGAAGACATCACTTTATTAGTGATAAGTTTTAAGTGACTGTAAATTTTGTGGATTAAGTCAAAGAAATAGTACAGATAAAAAAAAGATAAATGTGCTCTAAAGGTTCCAACCTAAATATATGAAAAAAAACCTTCAAATATATATAAATATATTAAATGACAAGTTGAAGTGAGTAGTAGTAGGCTCTGTTTTGCTGATTCTCACAGTAACGACATTAACGACGCTATTTCGAAGACCACCCACTAACCGAGAAACGTGTTGAACGAACTTAGATAATATTTACAAAACGTAAGATTAGAATAAAACGCCTCATATTATACAACGTCACGTGGACGAATGAATTTCCAAGAAATAAGATCCATAATAACGTCTACAATTAACTCACATTGTGAATTAATAAGATAATATAAAATTCACTATACTCCTACCTTCCCATATAATATTTTAAACATTGTTACAAAGTTTTATTTTAATTGTTAATAGATTATCATACGAGAGATCATATATTGACTAGATTAATTCTTATTTTCAAAATATGTACCATTCATTCATAATGTATACTAAACGCAGTTGTGATATTTGTGTGAACAATTTATATAAGCATTATTATTTTCAGAAGATCAAGATTATTAAAACTCATCAAACGAACTTGCCTAATGGGAAGGTTACAGTATACAAGAGTAGTATTTAAGAGGAAATTGACGTAACGGCTGAACTTTTGATAGGACCGCTGTTTTAGCAATTAAACTTAGACCTGATTGCACTAATGTTACTTTGACTTGAAGCGAGGCTTAAAACTTTCTCTATCTCTTTTATTCTCTTTGCTGTAAAGAGAGAAAATGTAAGTTTTAAGCCCCGCTTAAAGTCAAACCTTGATGGAAATAAAAATCGGAGTGTAAGTCGAATGTAATAGGAGAGTAACAAAAGCAAAACTTCTAGGAGGCGAAAATTGGAACAATGAAACGTAAAAGAAGCGTCTATGCTTTTTTTTTACGTATTAATGTTTCATCAAATATGGACATATTACTTGCAGAGTTGAGAAATAATTACTTGTAACGCAGCGCTGTTACCATTTTAGTTACTTTTTTTTGTAATGATCGTTACTTTTTTCTATCTGTAATAGTAATGGTAATGTCGTTACATTTTCATAGTAACGATAACGAATTCCGTTACTTTTATTGTTACTTTAATTCCTTTTTCTATTACTCAATAGATCGCATTATTTTTATGTATAAATAACTAAAAATATTTTATAATAGAAGTTTAAATATCGAAAAATGTTTTGTACTTCATACCTGATTGCATTTCGATAGTCATCGTCAAAACTGAAAATCTGTAGTAAACGTAATGTGAATTATAAATTTTCAGTATTAGCAATAAAATGCATCCTTAACGATATTAATGTTTGAAAACAAAGTTTAATAAAAATTTTTAATAAAATTTGAGTTTGTTAATTACAATCTAATTTTTAAGGATAAACATGTGTATATTAAAAGATAAAAGTATTAATATAAAGAATTTTTTATCGAAGATTTATTAAATATAAAAGAAAAGCTTGATAGAGATTAGCTTAAGATTTTAAGTTTTAATATTAATTTTTACAATTATATATATAATATTGATTATTAAATAATATAATTTTTTAATCTAATATTTTATTTTAAAAGGATGCTAAAGTGACAGTCGAACTTAACGGTTAAAACCAATAGTACAAACTATTTTAATTAAAAATTAAAAATGTCGACAATAATAACATCTTTAATTAATTTCTTTTCCGTAAATAGAAATTCTTCATATTTAATTATATTTATTATATCGATCTTATTTCAAATTTAAATTATAATTGTTTATTTCATACATTATCATTCTGTGTCACTTAAATTAATGCATACTGAAAAAATGTAGTTCCTAATATCAATAAATGAATTCATTAACTTGAAGTTCATTAATACAATGAATTTTTAATATATTACATTGAGTATATATGTCTTTATTAGTCAATAATTAAATTAATTAATATAACAAATCACCGTTTATTAATATACTGAACTTGAATGTATCATAATTTAAAGTAATATTTAATTAAATCAGTAAAAAGTTTTACATCCTCTATATAGTATAAGGATTCTAGTTAAAACAAGCGCGCGATTAGTGTGTTGCTACTTCAGAAATCTTAGGTCCTAATTCCGTTAATACCGCATATGCGTTTTCAAGAATTATAAAATGATCCGATGCGTATTTATAATTAAAATGTTTTAATACAATGCAGTAGTTAATATCATATCACTTTATAATATCAACAAGCGTGATCGTAAAGTAATAAAATCATTCATTAACCCTCCGCTAACCAGGTGGAAAATCAACATGGATCATATGTGGGTATATTTCATATCCCATGCTATACTTCATTATAAATATATTATAATTCAGTATGGGCTGCGTTCGGAAATATCACCCGGGTGTCTCCGTGTATCATCTTATCCTTGTTTAACATTGGGTGAATAACAAGGATAAAACGATACACTCGAGTAATGTTTCCGAACGCAGCCATGATTGGTAATAACGCATTTTCCAGCTGCACGAAACCGATAACATGCGCGCAGTACTTTTTGAGAAGTTATAGAAATTCATCTTGCTGGAGTATGTCAGACCCCATCTGGTTTACGGAGGGCTAAATTAACAAATACATGATTCAACGATATTATTCACTAAATAAAATTTTTCATTATTATAATAAATTTATGGCAGGCTGTTTCAATGTACATAAATAATTGTTACAATGAGAATTCTAGTAATAGTTTATAATAACTCAATTCATCCTTTTATAACATCTAAATCATTGTGGATGCAAATGTAAAGCTTATCGATACACGCTCCTCTCGAACTCTCCCCAAACGCTCCGTAAACTGAAATACAGTTGTCACATTTCCCACACGTTTTAGATATTATTTTTTCATTAACGTTTCTCATACGCTCCTCAACACTCCGCAAAGAATGCATGGAGCGTACTAATACACTTCCAAAACACTTTATTCATTGGTACTTTGTCTTTCTAAACGTTCCACAAAAAGTACACGGAGCATTCAAATACACTTCGTGTATGCTTTCAAAATATAGAAATAAAAAATTTATTTTAAAACGGAGCGTCATTAAGTTGTACAGCGAACGTAAACGAAGCATCGTTGAGTAATACGTGGCACTGCCACCAGAGGGAATTACCGAGAACTAACTTCTCGAATTTAAAAAACCGCACAGACAGATAGTAGCGTTTTCTCTTGGCTGAACTATCGCCCACTAGTACAATATTCAGATAGTGTACCTTGTTTCTATGGCTGGTCGTAAGCGAACTAATTCGGTGTACCGTGTTTCTGTGGCTACGGTGTAATGTAAATTTTATGCACGAAGTGGGATTTTGCTACACCGTCTTAAAGGGACGGTGTAGAGCTAGTGTGACATTTAAAATTTGAAAATGGAAGTCAAGCGTGAACAGGGTTTTAGCGCAATAATCATGGTGTGCACCACTATAGTGTAGGGTAGCTGAGTGTAACGCTTATACACGCAACTGGTGCGGTGTGAGGCTGCACCCAATTGCGTGTAAGCGTTATCCCAAGAGAAAAAGCTATAAGATAAAAGACGTAGCATTGAAAGATTTTTCAGTTGTGTTCTAATGAAATAATTTTTTTGAAATGAATCCCTAGGGCTCCACGATGGAAGCATAGCACTTTTTTTCCGAATAAATGAAATATATTTAAAAATATCATTTGCTTACCAAGGGCCTTATATCTTATTCACGGTCCTCTAAAAACTCGACGATGTTTACGTTTTCTAGACTGCCTAATCACGCTCCGTTTACATTCAACGAACATTCTGCTCGTGCTTGCCAAAGAATTTATCTAGGGTAACTCCGGTATATACGCCGCGATGGGATTTACGCCGCGGAAGTCAGAAAAAATAGAAGGAGTGGGGGTAATTTTCTCGCAACTACTCTGTTACATGCTTTTTTGTTATTATTGAGTTATAATTTTAGCTTCTTACTGTTAATATTAATGAAATTATTGTGAGTTGAATCGATTTGTCACTGTGTGTGTAACAAGTAGCATCATCATAAATTATAATCTACATAAAATGATTACTGTAAGGCGTGTAAAAGACCTAGTGGTTATTTCGTGATACATACGTGTAGAAGAATAGTAAAGCAAGTTGTATAGCAAAATACAAGTGCTTTGCTTTCGTATTCTTTGTTTAGTTTGTTGAAACCCTTGTATTTTTGCCATATATCCCACCCATTATCTATATATAGCAAAAATGCAAGATTTCAAAAAGTTTATTTTTTAATACGAAAACTAAATATTTCGGATTTCTAATATTTTTTTCATAGTATTAGACAGTACAAAGATGTTGCTGATATAGTTCGTTTATTTTAAACATAGTAAATAATACTTAATAAATTAAGTTTTTGATAGGTGCGACGTATATACCGGAGTTACCTTATACTTTATTTATGTTTCTTTAATGTTTAGTTGACGCTCCCTTTACGTTTTATGTTCCAATTATCGCTTCTTACGAGTTTCATTTATGTTACTTCCTCCTTACACTTTCTTTACACTCCAATTAACGCTTTATTGACACTCGCTTTATGTTTTATTTCCATTAGGGTAGAATAAATTATTCATTAGTTACACTAATTTTAATAAACTTTTCATTAATACAATGAATAGTTTTATTGCATTTACTTACATTTTTGGTTCAGTATGTTATATTATAATCTTGATTTAATATATTACAATATGCCATCTTTTGCAATATATTAAATGCACTTACTGTTAGACACAATTACTGTTGTTTACCATTATTCTTAGTCTTCGCTAAGCACATATACGTACATATATAATTTGCAAATCAATATACATTTTTTTAAAGCTCTCTATAATCTTAGTTTCATAAACTCAATATTGTTTGTCCACGTAATTCGAGGGATGGTGCAATACTATTTTGCTCATCCGAGCTACAGAACTTTTGTATTAAAGAAACATCTATATCAGATAACAATTCTAAGTTGAAAAATGTAGGTTTTTAACTATTTTTTCAGTTTTAAGCTTACCCTGGGGTTCAACGTACCATACATATATGTATGGACTTTTCATATGTGGTAATATAATTTAAAAATCTGAATTGAGATTTAAAGAAAAACTTAATTTATTAAGTTATTAACTCCATAAATACGATAAGTTTGCAAGGGCAATTTTTTGCGTTATTTTCAACGCGAGAGTGCATGAAAATTCAAAGATAATATCTGAAATCCATGTGTGGCGGGCTAGCAAGTTTTCATCATACTTCTCGCGATTAGCGCCATCGGTCAGCGGTCTAGCGCAACCGGTAGCCACACAAGCTCATGTCCGTACTTCAGTAACAGAAGTGTACCGACTATATCAGCTGACTATATCGCTCTGACTTTCTCGCACTACGTTTTCTGTTCGCCTTTAGCTTCACTCAAGCAAGCGTTAAGCTAGATTCCTTGGATTAATGGAAGATGTATATATAATTACATTTATTAAAAGTTATATTATCTGCAGTTATCACTATATGTCCCTTGATACGCCGAGCGGATGATAAAACATTTTCGGTAGCTTGACGCTTGCTTGAGTGAAGAGTGAAGCTATACAAGAGCGAGGAGGACGGGTTCTCTCTCGCTGTCTTATTCGGTGCGCCGAAAGCGAACAATAAAAATATAGAGTAAGAAAGTCAGAGCAATAGTCGGCACGCTTCTGCTACCAATTACCAAAGTTACACGACATGGGTTCGTGCTTGTGTGCATGGCTATTGGTTGCGCCAAGCCGCCGACCGGTGGCGCTGATCAAGTGCTGTCAATTTTTTTGGGATCGATTTATATCTATTTGTAAAATTTTGAATAATTTTGAGATTCTTGAGAATAAAGTATTAATTTGCGTAATACTTCCTTAAACTAAATTTATTTACTACTTATATACATATATCTAAAATTAAACAACATTTTTTTCTTTTAAAAATGATTTATTAAGGAATATAATATTTTGTGATAATTCATGACAATTGAATTTCCAATTATTTGCTGATAATACAATTTAAATATTAATGTTATAGCGGATTTATTAATGCATTATATTGTACGCTGTATTGCTGGATCCATAATGTTGTATCACTTGATTTATTTGACATGGAAAAGAGAAAGAAGGAGATAGAGAGAGAGAGAGAGGGAGAGAGAGAGAGAGAAATGGAGAAAAGAAAGAGAATAGCTCGTCTGCGCTTAGCTTCCACAAGATATGCCATCGATATTAATTGTAAAAAAGAACCGCAAGAGTGGTCATTTTTCCGTATTTTTGTCATTTTTTTCTGTCATTAGTGCGATTTTTAAATCTCTGGATAAGCAAGATGGAGAGAAGAAGGATTTACATGGATAAACATGTTAAATGCAATTTCAAATATGCCGCTGACCAAATGCAATGTAATAAATAAATACTATTGAAATACATATAATTGAAATCAATATTATTATATCTTTAAAAAACATTAAATTGACAAATACTATATTTTTATACTGATGCTTTAAAAAAAATCAATTAACTCACGAACAAAATTCAAAGCATAAATGACATAATCATATTTTTATAAAACTGCTTTTATATGTGTATATGTAGTGTATGATTTTGAGGAACATTTTATATAAGAAATATTTAAAGCTAATAGTAGATATACAACATACAAATTCAAACTTCAGATATTTTGACAATTTTTTAAGTAAATAATATGTACATTATTTTTTTTATCTTGTTAGCTTCCTTTTTTATGAATATTTTATGTTATTTCTGCTTTGAATTTTTCGCATCTTATACTAGAGTAAGCAAGGAGCACAAGGGAATATTTAATAGAAAGTATAAGACCCAATACTCGAATCTAATCATAAATTTTACATACTTGAAACTTAGGATTCACCAAATTTGAAAAATTACTTTGGGTGCATTCTGTACAATGTTCACTGAGCGTTCAATGAGCTCTTGCATCCGATAGGTTTATTCCGTTAGATCTAAAAATATAGACCAAACAGGAGCAAAAGCTCACTGAGTGCTCAGTGAGCGGTTGTATTGAATGCACCCGCCGTTTTCATTCAATTCAACGTCACAGACCTCTTATACGTGATGTGCATTACACGTGAATATTTTTCAGTATGCGTTAATTTATAAAATACTCAAGAAAGTGAGTTTCGTTAATTGTTTTAAGAAAGTAAATATACTCTTCAAGATCAAATGGATTAGTTATACTATCTGAGATTCTGCTCAACGCGCACATTCTAACGAAATCTATAACCAGTATTCATAGTCAGTTCTTCTATTCAAGATCATCTTAAGTTCTGTCTTAAGGTGTCACGAACCAATCAGAGAGCCGCATTAGCGTCTTATTTAAGACGGTCTTGAATTAAGAGACCCAACTACGACTACCAGCCTATATGTAACTTATTAAAGAGAGTTTATCTCGTGGTCTGTAATTTGAGATAAGTCTTTCCGGAAGCTACCACGATTCCCAGCTTCCTCGTGCTCCTCCTTACGAAACATAAATTTTGTCACGGTAAATGTCTTACCTATAACGTGGTGGTACTTGTCAATAAACTGCTCGGTGCTTTGAACTCCCATGAGTGATGCGTCGATTTTAGTGTACCAAATGGATGCGGAATATCGCGGTTCCGGCTGTACGTAATTGACACCTGGCATCTGCGTGGGTCGAATAATTTTCTACGGTGGGTGTCTTTTTCTAATTGCGATAGTGATCATTCTACAATCGTCACAAACGGGTCTAATGCCCGTATCACACTATCGATTAGAAATTGCGTCTGCGTTTGCGTTTGCGTCACTTAATTAATCAGAAAGAAACTGTTAACCAGCAGCTTTTTTTTATGAGTCAAGAGAAGGCAAATGCGAGCGTAGATATAATCTCCAATCGCTAGTGTAATACTAGCATAATGCCGCGCGAATGTGGACGAACATCGCAACGCTACCGTCTGATCGAACGTTGGCTCGAACCACTTTGACACTTTCGGAGCCGGTTTCACTTTTCGGCGAGCGATTTCGCGAAGATTCACTTTTGTCGGAGTATTTACTACTGTGCGTCTCATCGTCCACTACGCGGATGAATCACGTCGATTTTCTCCGAGTCTAGCTGAGTCACTTAAAACGTATATACTCGCAAAGAAGGAGAAACGACAATTCCCCACTGTACCCGCGAAGTTCAATCGCGTTTTAGCCGCGACGTCGCGCGTCGCGACACTCGATAATACAGCGACGACTCGCGCGATTGGTGCCACTACACGTTCCTCGCATAACCCAGTCGCATAATCGGAGAAACGGAAACTAGACGCGGCACACGATGAACGAGAGCCATAAAGGAAGAGATGAAGAATAGAATAATATATAAGCGCCCGCTGTGAAATGAGATTAATTAGAACCTAATTGGGCTTATCGAAAGAGAGAGAGAAAGAGGGAAATCGCTGCGGTATTATCAGAGCAGACTAGGGTGTGGCGAACGAGGTACTTGACTCATGTAAACAATTGAAAGCGCGCAAAAATGCAATATAAATTTCTACATATGTTAATTTTATTCCCAATCTATAACTTATTTATAAGAGTTGAACTCTCACTGTGTATTTAAATAAAAATATAATATAATATGTAAGATATAAATTTTGATTGAAAATAACTTGCGGGTATCAAAACACGGAAATTACTTTAAATAAAAAATAAATATTCTATAATTTTTTAGAGAATTAATATTAATTATATATATAAATATAGGTAGATACTATATAGTACAGACTATACAAAGTATATACATATTCTTTAATTTTACTGTAACTTTAGTATAATTATGTTTTATTTTTTAAAAATCTAATAACGTACATGTAGACGTAATTTGTATACCTGTACACGTGATTATGTTCATTAATTAAATTAATAATCATATTTTACACGTTGTAAAAGAAATATTTTTTGTTACTGAGAGCGCTCTTTTCTTTCTTTTGCCTCGGGTACGAAATGTTTAATCCCGATTCTGAGTACTACCACTATGTAAAGGAAAGCGGAGTAATTTTAGACACAAAAATTGTATACAGAGATATCTATAGCAAACGTTATATATCATCTACAAACAATCGATTAGTTCGTGTTTAATTAGCTCTGATAAATTAAATTTGGCATTAATGAAATTTTTTAACGTAAATTTGTCGAACTGGGAAAATTTCAAAATTGATTATAAATTATAGGCTTTTAAAAAATATTAGCACTAGCTAATGTAGCGATATTATCAAATCGTATCTACCTTTTTAGCTAGCAAATATAATCCGTGGTACAATAAAAAAAATACACTCGGTGGTACAATAAAAAAAACGATAAAAACGTCTGTATAAATCTAAAACATTTATGTTGATGTCATTCATAAATATGTATATCAATTAAATTAGCGCTTATTAAAATAAACACCCCTATTTATCTTGTAGTCTTAACAAAATATAAACAGAAAAAGTTACGAGATATGATCCCAAGATAATATAACGCTTCGATTTTATTCGTATAGAATCTTTTTGAGAAAACGATCTTTGTTTCAAATCCAATATAATGCGAGTAACATTTTCGTTGGATAAGTATAATGCCATAGACCGATTTATCGTCAATTAGCAATCGGCACTATCGATCATCCCGTTGTCCATGCCAAGCGTTACAGTCACGTGACCGACACAATCGTGACACGATTTCAGCCGCGTTCCGTCGTAATGACAGGAACGTCACTCAATAAAATCGCAAACTGATTTATTCGAGTCATCATAAATCCGACCCACCTGCAGGGCGTTCAAAAACACTATCCGAGTATCATTTTATCTTTGTTTAACAACAAGGATAAAATGATGCTAGGAAATACTCGGGTAGTGTTTTCGAACGTAGTTCAGTGCGATACGTGTTTGTAGGATCGAACAGGGTTGAGAAAATTACTTTATAAATTAACATTATCGTTAACCTCTTTTTAAAAAAAATAACTCGTTATCATGATGAATTACATAATTTAAAAAAGGAACTCGTTACCCGTTACTCAAAATAAAAGTCTTACAATTTCTGTTACTTTTTCATCGAATTTTGAGGAACCTTTTTTTACAGTAACATTTAACTGTCTTGATCACTAATTAACCAGTTCAACACAAGATTTATAATGATTATAATGATTGTGGTTATAATTGCAACACAATCAAGCATAAATTTTTGCTTTTTAAATTTATAGCTTATGAACATTCCATGTATTGTACGCGTCTAAAGTAACAATTACATTCATTATCGTTATCCAACAAAAGTAACACACTGCGTTGTTTCCCAACCCTGCATGACTGTTTAAGAATTACCAATCTCAGCGATAAAATAAATCGTGACACGTCATTCGATGAATTACTCTAAAATATGACGTTCATCTAATATCTCGAGAGATCTCCCATAGAAATATACCTTTGACGTCGACACGCGTAACTTATGAAACAACGTGGTCTCTTCTCGCGACCGACGACGAACGACACAGCGGTTACTGCGAGCACGATCCACGATCAACTACCACGCCGCTAAGAAAGAGAACGAGCGAATGAATCGGAAAGATAGGAAAGAGAGAGAGAGAGAGAAAGAGAGAAAGAGAGAGAGCAAGAGAGAGAGAGTAAGCGCTCGGACCGATGGACATTGGCAGAGCGCTGGGACTCCCAGTGCTTATTTTAAAACCACTGTCCTTCCAACTCGTGCGAGCAATCGTCCATCCCTGCAGCAGTGCACGATCGCGACACGATATCGTGTAAACTCCCATAGTCGCAGCTACGTCACGCTAGTTAACGTAATCGAATGAATCTCTTGGCATTGGTTTATGGATCATTCTTGATCTGATTAGTCTAAGTGGATAATTAAATTTTCTTATAATCCCTTGCGGTTCCTTGTAATTCTTTCAATATTATCTTAGTATACAAGATAAATATATTTAGATTTTTTCGTGAAAGCCTATTTGTTAGTAGATAGACAAAGTACGAGCAATGACATTTCTTGAGAACGCAGCTGACACATGTTGTATATCGTCACAGTGTCGTCTTTGTATTTTTTTGATACTCCAGGATTCCATGAGCTTGCGAATGGATGTGAGGTTCATTAACTTTGAAAAAGTCGAAGAATACGCGATAGTTTGTTTAACTAAACGTAATTTCTTAAATTTTATTAATTTTCTTATATCAAGCGCAAAAAATGTATTTATTTATTTTTCATTTCGTCGATAGATAATGAAAATTTTAAATGAAATAGAACTTTCAAAATTGAATACAATGCGTCATATTTTTGAAAGAGACATCCATCTCTTAATGAGAAGAATTTATAATATTTTACACCTCTTTTTTTTATGTGTATCTTTCTTTAATGAACAAGATATCTCTCTCTTTCTCTCTCTCTCTCTCTCTCTCTCTCTCTCTCTCTCTTTCAGAACTTGTATATAAATTTACTAATTTAATAAAGAGATTAAGTGTGACAACGTCGAGTTGATATGTCGAGTTTTGTGATAAATAAAGACAGTTTAAGTAGAGCACAAACACTTTTACGACGGCAATTCATGGCTTCCATATGACGTGTTCGGAGACTCTTAATTCATTTTAGGAATGTAACTTATTTAATAATATATTAGAGATAAACTTTTCTTTGTATTTTGTCATCATACGTCGAAATGTAATTTCATAAAAAATAAGAAAAATATTGATATATTGATATTAGTTATTTCGCGCAAAAATTGCAAAGCAACAATATTATTAGGTATTGTGACAATGAAGAAGTAGATCCAGAGTTTATTTATCAACGCCATATACTGCAGACATTGTAAACGAGACTTTTCGGTTGACATTTTATGCACTATAAAGATCCTTCTTGATAGTAGTATCCGACGTATATGTCATTAAATGATAATTTTACACTTCGTATCTGTACACAAAATTCTCGCTATTCCACGGATTACCCTTCTCTTCACTTTCGTCTCACGGTGAATTCTTTTTGTCGCGTCGTTTCGTAGCGAAAACACATACATCACCACAAAAGTCAAAACACACGACGCGGGTTTGCCGTCCTTATATCAAACGTTTAATTGGACACTGTACCATCGGGAATGCGAACACGAGTAAATTGTATAAAATCTCTCTCTCTCTCTCTCTCTCTCTCTCTCTCTCTCTCTGCACAAACTTATTCCGCGTTTCACTCGACATCAAATTAACATATGTACAAATGTCACCATTGTCTAATTGAAAGCGCGTTTATGTACATACACTTTTGTTTTAAATACAACTTACAAAACGCATCAAATTCTTACGACAACCAATTATTAGCAAAATTAATATACAGTTATACGAATAATTTTATATAAAGTTTTGCAATTTTTGTACATACATAATTTCATTTCGCTTAATTAAAATTGAACTTTGCTTAAACAAGCTTTAATTTTACAATTAATAAAAAAATATTTTGAGAAATAAAACTTGTTAAAGTAAATATAATTCAAGCAGAAAATATCTAAAAATACAAAAACTTAAGTATAAAATCGAATTATAAAATTTGAAATGGATTCTATTACTTCTCTCTCTCTCTCTCTCTCTCTCTCTCTCTCTCTCTCTCCCTCTCTCACCCTCCCTTAATGTATTGAATATTAAAGATTTTATAGAATATCAATCCCAAGTTAGGCCAAAATGACGACTGGAAGAAACAATAGCAATTATGGAACAATTAAACTCCTGTAGTTATAAGATTCATTAACTATAGAAAATTCATAGAGAAACATTTGTTTTTAAAAGTAAAAATGAATCCGAACCTCCAAATGATATACAATATAAACTAATGCCTCTTATATACGGCATCAGTTTATGCACTTACTAACACCTCTGTAACTTTACCAACCCTTCTGTAACACACATTTCGCATACATCCTAGCCTCTTTGTTAAAAAGATTCTCTTTGCCTTTTTTTTCCTTCGTCTTGTCTCAAAAATATTAAGAATCGAGAAGAAGAAAGAAATGAGATGGAGAACGCAGTATATAAATCTTCGTAACGGCTTTTGGTCAGACTAAAACTAAATCGTGCGAATAATAATTTGCTCCCGGCCAAAATTTATGGCACAAAACGTATGCGTTGGTGATTTTTAATGGCACAGAGACACGTGTGACTTTCCTGATTCCCCTTATTTCCTCGTGTGAATGAACAAATATTTCGGACCAAAGCCGCAAAGCGGGAAAAAGATGGATGTGTCATAAAGCGCGACATAAATTTCTTGGTCTCAGCATCACGATTTTTCGCATATTTTTTCGTTATTTCACATGGCTTTATTTTGTCTATTCTTTCATTCTTTCATTGAGTCGATCTTTTCTTCATTTCAGTAGCATGCGTTATATAGATGCGTCTGTGGTCATGGTCTGCGACTACGAATATGTCTACGGAACGCAAAGCGAAATAATACTTCTCTCCGTATCTTTATCGAAGTTTTATTAACTCTTGGCAGGGACTGGGTCACTTGAGACCCAATATATTCATATAATTTTCAAAGATTGTTTGTACATCCTTTTCACATCGTAAAAGTATAAATTCAAACTCACAAATTGTGGCTTTTTATTGTTATTTTATGAATTATATTTATAGGCAAAGCAAGTCTGATTATCCAACAGATTCGATTGAATAGAATAAGGATAAAAATGACTCAGTTCTCAGAAGGATACATCTGCCGAGAGTTAAAAGCGGTCTTTGAGAACAAACAACGTGAGTCTTGATCTCTTTGTGCACCAAACTATAAGTTAAACAATGTAATACAAGGAATATCTTCCTTGTTCATTTTATCGATCGTCCTCGACATCTGACGTAAGTTAAATTCGCACAATGAACTGGCCGCCATCGTCTCGGAACCACACTTGTTGAGATATTCTAGCGATATAAATAAATGATGGTTTTATATTAGATGAGGGCAAACATTTGTGGTTGATATATTTAAAATTCGAATAGTTGCAACTTCGTTAAAAATAAACGAAATCTAAATTTAAGAAACAATATTTTAAAGCTTATAATCTCCACCTTTGAAAGTTCACTATGTTTTATTGAGTTTCTGTGAGTTTGGTCATTTTTATATATAGAAAACTATGAGCTGGACATAATGGAAAATTTTCTTCTCGTGGAAAATTTTCTTTTTTGTGGATTTATTCATAAAAAAAAAATTGCTAAAATTTTTTACTTTCTAACATAAAAACTTAAATTTTCCCTATAAAAATATTTTTTAAAAGTGTTTCTAAAATTTTTTGTTATCGCGGATTAAATAAAGAGGATGTTGATTTTGATTGCTCCGATAAAAATCATTGTATCGCGATTAAAAAACAGACCTTTAAAGTTGAAACTTTGCTCTATCAAATATTGTCAATTTGAGTAAAATATTAAACATTATATAAAAACTTTTTTTTAAATTAGACACAAACTTTTGCACTCACCCAATGCACATTTTTCGTGATACAAAATATAATAATTTGTAAAATATTTATCTATTTTCTACGTTTAATTGAAGCATTATTTAGATACTCGTTTTCATATCTTGTATATTGTTCTGTCTTGAATAAACTCTATATGATTTTACATTGCATTAGGAAGAATATAGAGGAGAATTGGAAGAGAACTTGAAATCTACAGAGAAGGGAAGATAAGCATATTGGCTGATGATGTGTATTCTATTGAAGGTATATCGCGCATATAAAGCTAAATTCGATTAGTTAGCCCGTTGTAAAACCGTTAGTGTGTATGCATGGCACGACTTCATCGCGTCTTGTTTAGTCGATGTTCAAAATGACGACATCACTGTTCTATTCTTGGTAGCGTGGACGCAGCGATATCTTTAGAGCGACCATCGGTACAGTCCGTTTCCGAGCTTTCCTTCCTTCGAAAACGTGCCAGTTGACGAGAGAAGGCAAGATGATTTATTTCGACTAAATCAGACCACACTGCTAGCCTTCCCTATTTTCCGAGAGCACGGTGTTTTTATAATTTCATTCTGCCATGTTATTACTATATATATAGTTAATCCGAAATATGAATACATGTTTTTTGAACCATATTGAGAGATCTTTATGGCATGGCCAGATACATGATAGAAATTCGATTTAAAATTTGAGAAGTTCCGACTCAAAAAATTATTGACTTGGCAATCTACGCTCTTACAGTTTTATTTATTACAATCTTGGATAAAATTTTAGTTAGCATCAATGGGGAAATGTCACGCATAGTTTTCATTGTCAAATAAGTTAATTAAAAATTTAGTTTGAAAAAAATAATTTTGTTTTGACTCGCTTAAGAACTAGCAAGGTTAAAAAACTTATAAATATTGTATAATAATAATAATTCTATACACAAAAGAGGTACATTTAACAGATATCTCAGTAAAAAGACAATTCGTGAAAATAAACAGCTTTCTTCGACTTATAGCTATCCAAAATCTAAAAATTAGAACACGTTACTTTAAGTTATTTTAACATTGTTTTTGCAAAAAACATACTCTATCCCAGATAACATTTATGTTGTATAAGATATCTAAAAGTTTTTTAGACATTTTATGTAAAATGCATGTTATCTGGGATATTATGAAAAAATATCAACATTATAATAACATATACATATATATATATATATATATATAGAGCAAGGTGTTCCAAAATTTTTTCGAGAGTAATATTATTGCAGCGTGAAACTTCGTGAAAAACTTGGCACAAATCAGCACAAACGTAGCACAATATAGCACAATTAAGAGAAGTACAAAATATGAAAAGTGCAGTTCTATTAAAAATTTGGAGTTAATTTTTCTTTAAACGTTTTATATTATTGAGCTGCGGTTTGCGACACAAACTGGCACAAACGTAGCACAATGCAGCACGATTAAGAAAAATACAAAATACAAAATTCAAAAAGTGCGAATCAGCGTCGCGCAAGCAGTGATTATCCGTGTAATTTATATATGTGAGAATGATTGAACACAAATGTGATGCTGCCCAGTGCCCAGCGTTGTCTTCGAACATGGAG